CAATACAATAACTAACAATACATTTAGAGGGATACTGGAGTGAGTGTGGATTCAATTACTGAATTTATTAAACGAGTTTGATAAATTTAGAAAATGAAATGCACGAATGTAATATTCTATATTTATCACATACCTAAAATAAGAACTGTTTACAGGGAAAAAATAAATGTTTTTTCATTGACACGTTTTATAGTACAACGCGAAACATTTAGCGCGTCTTTAAGCGGTGCTCTTTTGTTTTAATCAATTTTGTAAGATTATTCCCCAAAATTAATAAAATTTACTCACAGAATATCGTGTAGCATGCATGATATTGAATAGAAAAAATCATGATATATATTTTATCTCTTATATCTCAATTATTTTGATATCAAAATAAATAACAAGCACTTAAATATACATTTTGTACATGTATTTATAAATAGGTACTATTGACACGATTTGTAAAAGTGTTAGAATTATAAGGTATTTTGCTATCAATTTACGCATTATAATCAAAAATAAAATAAATGGAACTTATTGCCCACAAGCTCAAAAACCTCCCAGTTTCATTCTTATTCGAACAAAATGGCAGTTTTAATATACACGTATAAACAAAACAAACATGAACACTATTAACTGTTGAAAAAATTCTGGAAAGAGGAGACAACTTGAATCCAATAAACATTGTTTTTTTTATTTAGTCAATTCCGAAGAGGTAAAGGAAATGTGCAACATCTTTCACGACCCCTTTGCACCTGTTCACCGAGTATAAGACGAACCCCAACAGCAGTCAAATGTTTTAAATGATTCTGAAGGAACCCAGAAGGTTGGTTCGAAATTCTCATTATCAATTTTTTCAAACAAAAATATCATAATTTTGAAATATGAATGTCTAACTTTATATTATGTTCAAATTTTGTAACTATTCTTATTTATATAAAGTGCTAGAGAAGCTCCACGCTGTTTTCTTAGCTTACTAATTCTACTGATGTTAAACCGAGACAAGAACTTAAATGAATTTTTAGATTTAATGTATTTTTTTAAATGGAATGAAATGAATATAATTATACAATAACAGACTGGCAAAAAATATCGATTAAATGTTATGGTAATGTATGGAAAATATAACGAATTGTTAATAATGAAAACAAAACAAAAACAATCTGGAAACAAAGTGATCCCTTGGAAGCATTAATCACAACAAAATTACACGAGAATTGCAGACTCGGTTTGATTGAGTCTGTACATGAGGGATAATGAATAGGTGCAACATCCCTCACATCCCCTAGCACCGGCTTGAGCGGTACTCAATTCTCAACACTTAATAGTGCTGGCATCAATGATCCCGAACGACCAGAAAAATATAACAACACTGAAGTGAAGTACGGGGCAACTTTTTACAGCAGCCACACAGCGCTTGACATTTGCTGTTGTGAAGTATAAAAAATCTGGGAAAACAAAGTGATCCCTCGGAAGCATTAATCACAAAAAAATTTACACGAGAATTGCAGACTCGGTTTGATTGAGTCTGTACATGAGGGATAATGAATACGTGCAACATTCCTCATGCCCCCTAGCACCTGCTGTTGTGAAGTATAAAACATCTGGATACAAAGTATTGGAAATATTGAAAACTCTGAACGTATCATAACAGCGACTTACTATGTCATATAAAAAAACTTTCAGTTTTTTCCCCAATATTCATTTCTTCTATCATGTGTATTAGATCGTTCATGGATAAACGATGCCTAGAAACAACGTTTTGTTAAGACAACTATAAGATTAACCATCATTGTAAAATAGATATAGAAGTATATATCTTCGGATTTTAGATTTGGAATAAAACAATGTTTTTCAAATACAAAAAATAGTTACAATATATAAGATAAAAACTTGCAATTTCGCGTTGTCGGGATTTATTTGTTTGATTTTATCGTTTTGTTGAAATGACAACGAGGAGGACAATAAGATGCATCAAATGTTTATGTTTGTTTTTCATTTTATCTATAACAATTTCTTTATCTCTGATACATGTAAATAGGAATCAAGTAACGATATTTTCGGACTTACCTTGGAATTTGGTCGGAAGTGAAGATGTGTACATAACGAAAAAGTCTGCAACGAGTGAAAAGGTAAATAAGCTAAATTAATATAAACATTTATAAGATTTATTAAATTTTAGAAACTTTTTAGATACGCTCATTGACCAATATCACACTTGTTTTATCATTATCTACATTATCATTATCAAGATCAAAGAAATAATAACGACATTTCACTTAAAGACGACAAATTACCCTATAGTCGTAATAACAATATTCTGCGATTTAATTTAAACAAGGAAGGTCTTAAGGTAGTACACCCCTAATGCACTATCTCCACTTTGAAGAGTATTCAAATAGGCTAGAATCACTGTAAAGTGTATTGAAACTGAGGGGCGTGGGTTCGAACCCCAGAAGGGGAAACTTTTTTTTCTTTCTTTTTTTTCTTTTTAACATTTTTTATTTATCTCCAAGATCCCTAATGGAAGAAAAAAGTGTTTCATTTTAATTATATAATTTTTGTAGGTATTTATTTACTAAATAATGCCAAATTTAATAGCAAATATGATACCAGATATTTTCAAAGTTTAATGAAATAAATTCTACACGGTAAAAGTATTTTATATTTTGCAAGACCAACCAGTATAAATTTTAAAAAATTTAGGCAAACTTTGAGAACAGCCCCTCATTGTGGAAAATTTTAGGGATATTTTAAATAAGGCTTTTAATAAGTGTCAAAAGTGGTTGGGGTAGGTCTACATTTTTGTACATATTAAAAACATTTCGTTTAAAAACAATCATTTTGCTTGTTTAATTTGTTACCTCAATGTCATTATTTTTTTCTTAACAATGAGCATTAGGAAAACATTTTTCATAATGATGGTATTATAGATTATTTAGAGTTTCCTCATTTCTGAAAAAAACCCTTCTAATGGCAAAGTTTAAGTTAAGAAAAATGTCCATAACTCATAAACCACACGGTAAATTTTGTTTAAATTTTGCATACAGGTGACATTTAAGGCATATAACTGTCCTATGTTGTCAATTTTACAGTTCCTTATAGTGCCCATTAGGGGTGTACTACCTTAAATTTCTGCGTATCTTGTTACCGTATCGTAGCCATTGTGGCTTTGAAATGTTATATTTATTTGGCCCTTGTTCAAAGAAAGCGACACATGTCATGATATTTTACATTCAATTGGCGTCATATTTCAGGCAACATGGTGTATTTTTATCTGGACATATATTGATTTTTTAATTTTTCTCTATAAGGTGACTTGTAGTAATCTTTATTTACATCTCATCATTGTACAGACATATACACAATGTTAAAAATTTGCAGCATAAAAGTACAATACCATTCCAGCATGGAGTTATAAGAGATAAAAAAAAATCACAATATTAGAATACAAGTATACTACAATACATATAAATACATAAAACATTATAACAACACGTTTATGTGACAAAAAACCCTGAGAAACCATTGCTATACATAGACTAATAAAATTAAACATCCTGCCTACCATAAAGAAGAAATTATGACAATAAGCATATAACATTAAAACTGGGAAATCGTATAAAAATAACTAAAAAAACGATTATATTTCAGTTAAAAATCAAACTAATACGATTAGCTAATAAGAATAGCTGCAGTATTTCATATAAATGAGAAAGATATAAATATTTACACGAATAAGAAGCTATTTACATAATAAAATCCGGCGTCTTTGTTAAATATTAAAACAGGTTTGGCACAAATACGAATCATATTTATGTTTGAAATAAGAAAACAGTATTTGTCGTCAACAGACAGTGTCGAATAGATGTTACTTAAGCCAACAAACCAAGCCTTAAAGCATTATACAGAGAACAATTCAAGATAACATGTAATTCATTTTCTATAGTGTCAGTATTGCAAAAAGGACAGAGCCTGGCTTGCTCTGTTAAACCTTCAAACCTCCCAGTCTCAATCCTTATGGGAGTGACCCCGATACGGAATTTACAAAAAGCAGATCTATGACTTACAAGTAGTACAAGTTTACAATATTTTTATACTTTATACTCAGTTTTAAATTTACTAAACACTTGCAATTTATTATGTCCACGACCATAGGGCCCAACAACATTTTTGATTTTGTTATACCAAATACTTATACAATTATTTAATGTTTTTATTTCAACATCCTTGGCGAAAGAACGAGGTATAGGTCTGATAAAACTGGTGTACAAATGTAAATCATTGACACCATAATAACTTCTAACATGAAAATACCAGTTTAATCTACAAGAGCGACTAGCTTTATTAAAAGCACAGAGTGCCAAACGTTTATTAATTCTTGCCGAACTCATACATGATAGCTATAAAGAATGACATTTCCATTGTCGGACAATTTGGGGTTTCCAACCAATATCGCGTGCTATGCCATCATTAGGTGAATATTTTCCGGCACCAAGAAAGAAGCGCATTACTGTTATGAAAGGCCTAGATGCAAGAATATGACCGGAAACCCCATAATGGAGCGCTGTAATTAATCAAAGGGCTGCAAGCTCTGTGGTATTTTCTGATCTTTGCAATCTAAATCGTATGTATTTTCCTGTATAAGTTTATTTTTATATACTGTAATTCACCTTGCAGGGCCGAGATGCAGCGACTGCGTTTGGATTTTTTTACTATAACAGTTTGAGTTTGATACATACGGAATTTTGTCTGACTAGAGTTGCATCAAAATTCATTTATGTTCATTGTTTTTGACAGCCACACATTATCCTTTTATCCTTGCATATCGTGGGTACTTCCTTAATAAAAAAAGTTGCCTCGATTGGGATTTGAACCCCAGACCTCTTATACCCTAAACGAGCGCGTTACCCCTGCACCACGGAGATGTTTAACAAAAGCAGTCTGAATAAAATCAAATAATGCTAATTTCAGAATATCCATTCCCACAGATATATAAATCTTATATTCAGCTCCATGGTAATCCTTATTAATTTCGAGGTATTTTGTTCACGATATACCTGTTGTTTAACATTGATGTAAATAATTTAGCGAAAATCTTCTCGCCAAAACAGTCCGACATGTATATATTCCACTACTCGACTTTGTAATACGCTCTGAGGTATTCGGTAATCGACATCGCTAAAAATAGCATTTTCATATTCATCCGCGTAATTGGTGAATTGACAATTCTATAAGCCAACGCTACTTTTAAACTTTGAATGAGTTGTAATTTGTTTGATACTTGTGACAAAATAAAAAATATTTCTTTCTTTAACATCGCTAGTTTTAAGCTGTTTTGAGAACTACTTGTTGTTATGTTTGTCGTGAAGCTTCTGTGTCAGAGATTGAATTTCAGCATTGAATTTTCTAATCTGCGATCAGAAAATACAAAAACTGGCCAAACGACAGTGTCGTATTACTTTGTATAGACATCGTTATCTGTTCCTCTTGTCCAATATAACTTTTAATATTGATTTGACTTTAACATTTTGCCATTTAGAGTTTTCTTTTTTAAATATTAATAAAAGTGTACGAATTGTAGAGGGTTTTCGTAGTTAACATAATAATTTACTGTTTTTAACAGTCACATTAAAATCAGACAACACTGAAAAATAAACTTTTGACACATAAATAATTCATTTGTTCAGGAAAACTAAAACACTTCAAAGAGTAACGACGACGATGCAGATAAAGAAAACAGAATAATAACAATAAATTATTTGTCCCCCATGTCTAATATTCCAATTTTGAATTGACTAACATATTTTGCCATTTTAGAAATATTGATACAAGATTAAAAATGGTCGAATAGTTATATAGTTTACTCATGCATTTTATCCACTATATTTCGTTTCGTAGCGTACAGTTGCATAGGCATTGTCAATGATAATTAACTGTTTCTGAATCACATAAGTATTATAAAGGTCACGTTTGAAAATATGGACAATTTCACATTGTTTACATATAAAAGAAATACATATAAACGTATTCCGCTATACATAAATGTTTTGTCCAGGGAATTTGCTTTCATTAACCCTGTTTGATATTTGTATTATATTTTCATTAATTTCGTCTTTTGTTAATAGATATGTAACCTTGACGAATAAAGAAATATTGAATTGTTTTGTGCTGATAACTGAACAGAACATATCTTATTCAACATAGTTTATTCGAATAAATCATAAATATAAAATACAAATATCATTTACGTAACTTAGGATATTTGTTGATCAACAAATTAACACGTTAAACAATCGGCATATAAATATAGAGTATATAATTAATCATTTTGTAGAGTATATTATCATTTACATCGATTGAAGTTATGTTAAACAATGAATGAATAATTTTGTTATTGAACAAGCTACAGAACAGAACAGAATTTTCTATTCTGTTATTGAACAAGCTACAATTAAACTAAACTTAAAATCTGTTTTATTACTACATTGATTGAACCCGAATCAGATTTTGTGACGGGATTGTGTGCATTTTGGAAAAGAAAGAAAGGAAGAATTAAATATCCATGTATTATTTCCATGTTAAGCTATAAGTTTTCTGAAAAAAAAAATCATTAGACTTTCTTATATAAGATTTAAAAATAGAAAAATTGTTTATAATCAATACTGTGTTGCGCCCCCCACACACGTAAATGATAATTTTGTATATATGCAATATTTATTCCGTTTATGTTTTTGTGTGTTTGTAAAGGTGAAACTGTATACTTAAATATTTTTATTACTTTTTATCATTAAGAGATATTTTGAACCAAAATCTTTACATCAAAAGCAACGGTCGAAAATATGTCGACTTTTCAGATGAATATTCACACCCTTTGCAATATTATTCACTTATTCCAAAACCTTGTTTAGCGATTTCATTATTTATGTTAATGTCTTTAGAATGCATAAATTAATATGATTACACTTACATTTGCTGGTAATTCATTACTACTGTGTCGGTAAAATAATATGATAATGAGGACATTAAATATTGGAATTAATAGTCAAGAAGTACCAGAAAATATATTACTACTGAGATTAAGTTATCTCGATAACCAAACTCCCTCACAACCCTTGATCTGGTCTTTCTGTATTAAAATTGGTTTATCGAATCCACCTGCTACAATGGAAACAAAAAAAAACCACAACAAATCGTTGAAAATTGCAGACTCAGTTTTATTTATTTTGTTCAGTTGATACAAATAAGTGTTATATTAAGGGGAAAGATAATTTAATGATGATTGTGTCTACTGCTCAATCCAGGGATCATGTTTTCGATCTTAACTCGGGTTACAGCAATGCTTCCTCATATGACACCAGTACTGTTAGTTCCAGGACCGATCAATATAAGTTGTAAGAATTTGTTGCATAATTGGCTTTGATCAATATGTTGATACATATCAACATTTCTTTGGCCCCATACCCATGGCTTTTACATTTGTCTTTTGAAGTCTTATCTGTGATATGCAGGCTTCATAATCTCTGATCTCTTTTTAAAATTCCATTTTGTTTAATATCATTGTTTTCTTGTTTAGGACACACGCTTTCGTTTACTTTGGGACCATACGCCGCTTTTCATAGAGATGCACGAAAGTGTTACATTGAAGGTTTCATGATAACCGCCGTATGAACACCACCCACATCAACGGAGGTTTCTAAATTCAAAATTACACCATTTTCCGTGCTGAAATGTTTTATTCTGTTGAAGCCGGTGTTAGGTGGAATGGGCGGTAACTTGCTCTTCCCAGTACCGTCTATCAAACCCAGCCTGCGACATTATTAAGTTTGCCGTTTTCGCCGTTCTTTTGGGATTCGTATTCTCTTTTTATGACGTATTAAATCCTAATTTTTAAGTATCTGAATATCGAGAAAATATAATAACACTTAGTATAGTATATGCAACATCTTACAGCTGTCACATAACCTTTAACACCAACTGTTATGAATATAAAACATGTTTGATTTTTTTAAAGTAATTAAAGCTAAGGGTCAATATAACGTTACGTTTAAATACAAAAGAAAGAGCTTGTTCATAGTGACAGTTGTTACTGACATGAGTTTTACAAATTCTAATACAGGATTATATTTCAAATAGAAGGAAACGACTGTATTACTTTGTTTTTTAGTCCAAGAACCTAGCTTAGTGAAACAATTTACCATACTGTCATTTGGCATCAAAACGATAATACAATAAAAACTGAGTATAAAACCGAATACATCAAATTACACCAGTCCATATTCATATGAAGAAATAATAATTTTCATGATAAATAATCATTATATAATGCGTTGTTTGGAAGAGCATAAGAACGTGATAATGTCAAAGATCCCTGAATAATTTCCAGTCAATAAAAGTCAAGAGAAGACAGTTTTGAAAAAAACAACAACAACAAAAAAAAAACAGTCAAGTATTCTAAAGTGAAACATATAAAGATAATCTCACTCCGTTTTAAAATCAGGACACATTTTATACAGATATATATAGTTTATAGAGTTTATTTCAGAAGCATCTCGATGACCAAATGCCTATGAGGACACACTTTTGTACAGTGTACATGTTGAAAGTTACTACGTAATAACATCTTGTAATAATCTTGTAGCTTCTATGTCTCATAGCTAAAAAAAAGAGAAAAACAGAATCCCTAAAGAAAGCCCAACACGGCAAAATTGAAAATGTTGCAGGCTCGGTTTGATTGAGTCTGTCCATGGACGGTACTGTCTTGTTACAAACAAGACAGACATGTAATCTTATCGTGAAGTAAACATACAGAGACCTATTCTTTAATTTTAGTCTGAAAATCGAGTTAACTTTATGAAAATATGTTTTATAACACTTTTGTATCTTCGTGATAGTGACAAGATAATATTATATCGAAAATATCATCAATTTGTAAGACATCGAAACAATTCATAAAACAAATTACATTTTCCTTCAATTCCTTAAGACATATTTCATTGCAATCACAAGATCTTTACAGATATCGCGTAATCGACTAGTATCAAACTAACTACATGTATATATGATAACATTCATTGGCGTTTTTCTTGCAATAATTCGAGGAAGACATGAATATGTATTTCGCATGAAAACATATAATATGTCTGCACATGATCATTAATAGAAGCTAACACGCTATACTGTAATCACATTCTCCACAATAGACCAACTTAGCGGCATCTTTATAACAGAAAATATTGCATCCATTTTCTGGTTTGGATTCAAATAGGTTTGATCAACAATGTCTTCAGTTTTTTCACTTTATTGTTTTTGTTTTTTAAAATATTTTATGAGACAGGACAATATATGACTCTGGACATCCTCCATGTATACTCTTCAAAATGAAATAATAAAATAAAGGAAACTCTACTGATTCACACGATGCATTTGCTGAATGTGGTAAAAACGTTTTTACTCCGATCATAGCATTTAATAAAGTCCCCCTAATATTCAACTATTTCAGTCGCCAGGAAATATTAGCGATACTGTTCTATCGTACGAGCATGGGTTGATAGATGAACACAAAGACCCAATTGATTTGGTCTATTTGTGGGCCAATGGTAGTGATCCAAGATTTATATTGGATATGAAACGTCAAAAGGCATCGGAAGAACCTGGAAAATATCAACGGTGCGTATTCTAAAATTTATTATCATTGATAATAAATAATTCATGTATTAAAAACAGACAATTATACTGTTAAAAGCGCCCTCAATTTTACAATTGTTTTATATTTTTTATAATACTGAAATTATATTATATTTTACAATAGTACTTTTCAATAATCTTTTGTTGCATTGAGACAAATTCTTCCTTTCGAGTGCTTTCGACAGATTAACCTTTACCCAGATTTTAATTAGTTCAGTTTGAATGAATGCTGCTTGTCGTTAGGTTTATAGTGTCTGTATGAAATTTGATTATATTTCAAGACATGTCCCCTTTTATCTATTAATTCATATTGTATTTTCAACAATATTATTTGCTTACATATCAAATAATTTTTTAAACACTTTTGATCTCTAAATATGTTTTAGTTTCAATTTAGTTTATGTCTTCTTGCTTCCACAGTCCTTGATAGCTATTGATATTACTTTACATTTTGAGAAGCCCTTAAAGCTTAGCATGTGCTATCAATTACATTTATCAGAAATGGACCAATTACATTCATCAGTAATGGACCAATTACATTTATCAGTAATGGACAGATTTTTATGTGATGGACTTTTTTGTGGTGTCTTAAACGCTTTTTATGCTAATTGTGTTATCTTAAGCATCTTGCATGTATCAAATGTTATATATATAATAATAGCTTTTAGTAAACACTTGATGATTTAGAGCAAAACAGTCCATGATTACTTGAAGTGTTAATTGCTAAATTTAGTCCTAATAGGAAGTAAATCCCATATCATTCATACCCCATCTGATATTATCTGGAAGTAATAGTTATCTTTTTTCCAGTATTTCCAGATTATAAATTTAAGTGAATTTGTCCACAATGAAAGGTTTGTCATACCATAAATGATATTGTCGACAATATTTAGTTTTATACATGACAACAAATCATGAATGTATTTTACAACGTGTTTATGGATGTTGTTGGTAAGTATGATACGTGATCTGATATTACATATATCTTTATATAGCAGATAATTGTTCTAGAACAAAAAATATTATCTCTACTTGTTATAGCGTTTGTAAGCAAACAGCATGGATCCTGATCAGACTGCGCGGATGCGCAGGCTGTTCTAGATCCATGCTGGTCGCAAACGCAGTACGTTGGTTTTGTCATGCCGCGACTCTTGGTGTTTTGAACATTTATTTATGGACACTGTTTTCATACCTGGAAAAACAGCATAATGTCTTCTCTAGCAGTCCCCTCAGATGTTCAAGTTACACAGAATCTGGCGAATACATCCAAGTAATTGTGGTATATCCCGGTATACCTCAAACTAAAGTTTCCATGGAGACCAGCAACATCAAGTTACTTTTCAACGTTACAGACAACGGCATGGAATACACTGTCATAATTCCAAATCAAAATAAACATGGTACAGCATTTTTTAATATGCGTTGTAGAACCATATGAAAATTTAATTTAAACGATTACAAGTAAGCAATTTGAATTGACCAATAACAAACGCATGGCAGAATTCAAATTTTACTGTTGCTTGAATGATGCATTTAATTATCTATTAATATTTATTTTCTTTCTTACGTTTATGGTCAAATGCCAGTAATAAGTGTGCATTCACATTTGTTTTGCAGGTGACGGAATAATGAATATACTAACTGAAATAAACGGACAAATGTATATATGCATGTGTGGTTATATAGTAGGTAGATTTATTTATAAGAAATATTTAATTTTAGAATACGTCCATATGTTTCCTTTCGATTGAAAATATATCATATCAAATAATTTGTTTGAAGTGATTGAATTGCGTTTTATTATATGTTACATGCACCTTTCTACAACATTTACGACAATCAGTTTGGAAAATGATAATTTAAAGATTATCCTTTTTAGAAATTGCAAACCAATAAATTTTGTTTTAATATAGAATACTTAATTTCCCATTTCCGTATTAGAGAGTCAGTAGGTAGAACCTAGTTGTGATCGTCTGCGAAAGCCTGTGTTTGTTAATGTCCGTGTTTTGTCAAATATAAGGTCATTCGTCAGTCCACATAGATGTCAATTAAACGTTAAGTTAAGAATATTATGAATAATTTTGTTTTGAATTTTAAATAGTACTTTCTTTTAGATTGTTTGCATAATGCAAAAAAATAAAACATTATAGAAACATATTCTATAAAATTTTGTATTAAATGGAATATTTTTATTTCAGACAAATGAAAACAGGAATCAAGCAAAGAAACAACTGGACAACATGTACATAGTGAAGAATTTTAATCGCTTATCACCCAATACCTCCCTGGAAAAATTGGAACTTCTGAAACGGGTAGAGCAATCTTATTTATATTTCAATTTGGGTTTTCCATTTAACCTTGTAGACTGCTTCAATTTTCAACTTATGTTTAGTTGTAATTAACTTTTTTATTTTGAGTTGTTATATACGAGCATTATAATTGTTGTATATATCGATAATTTCATCGCATCTGTCGGATATGTAAGAATATTTAATTATCACAAGTTTTACACGTATAAAGGAAACGTACTAATTATAATGCAAGTGTTAGAAATAATGTGAAATACACCATAAGGTTAACGCAACATCTTCAGTAGCTTTATCCCTGCATGTGACATTATAGGAATGACTTTTGCCCCTATTGTCTTTCATATATCTTTAATAAAGCCTCGTTTCAGTTGGGAATAATTGAAGTAGTGGATGGAAATGGAATTTACACACTTGTGTATGTTAAACCAGACATTTATAATGATAACATTAATCAAGTAAGTGAATTAATTTTTTTGCTAAGGATAGTGTTATTTAATAAGTATTTATTTTCGACTATGCACATTATGAATAAAAGAAGATAGTATTCATGTTTTGTGATATACCGGTATTTGGTGCAAAAGGTTAAATGAAACATTCAAAATCATTTATGTTATAAAAATTTCGTACTTTTTATAATTCAAAGATTGACTGTATTTGTTGTGAATAAATTTTTTATTACTACTCATAAGTCATGTTGTATATCGTAGTATATTACTGACAAATTAAAAAAGTTAACATATAACAGTCATTGCAGATATATAAATTTTAGATTCAAACTATTTTTCTTGTCATTTGCAATCCACTTACGTAAAAGTGATTGCATAATAGTTTGTGAATGTGTTTATAAGTACTCAATTTTTTAAATGATGTTCGGAAAATCATTTGAATTGTGTACCATTTAACAATGATTTTGAATTTCATGTAATAGAGTTTGGAACAACAAGATATTTCTAATCTTGGTCTGAAAACAGCAGTGTTGGCCTGGGACACTGATTCCGTAAGTTTTGCTCAATGATTCAAACACACAAACCAATATATTCAAAATGAATTGTATATGAATGATTACTTTTACATTGCTTTTTTTCGAATATTTTGGTTATATCAAAATAATCCGTTATGTATAAATTATAGAAAAATATTGAGATAAAGTATATTCCGTTTTATTTATACTTTTTATGAATAAGTGTAAATTTTTCTTCTTTCTTATTTCTATAATCAATCAATCAATCAATCAATCAATCAATCAATCAATAACATGTGTAGTATGCATTTAGATAAGAATAGAAGGAGTAAAAGCAAGACCAAATACATTTCAAGACAATGATCAGCTAAGATTTTCACTGAGATCAGTGGAGAAGTATGCCCCTTGGATAAACCACATTTATATCATCACAAATGAGCAGATACCATGTTGGCTTAATACATCAAACAAGAGAATATCTGTGGTTTTTACAAAGGTGAAAATAATTTAATATATACAAGGAATGCATTTACTTTTACGCCTTTGAAGTTATTTGTTTGTTTATTTATGAAATTGTTATATGAATTGAAATGAAAAACTGCAAACGTTAAATAATACAAGGCTACATAATTTATAATAATTATTTTGTTCATAAACACTGATTTCATATTCTTTTTTCTGCTTTACAGATACGCATCATTGGTATGTGTCTTACATTGTGGACACCTTTATACATATCATTTAAGGATCGGCAAAAGCAAAATTTCAATAAGTAGTTCAATTCATTTCTGAAGGATCTAGTACGTGTAGGCTCTTACAATAACAATAAAATTATGACAATGGATTAATTGCTATTCTAAAAACATAATTTACAGTTATTGTATCTAAATCAAATAATATGTCTATATTCTAATGTTTTAAATTCCAGGATTTATTACCAAACAAAAAGGATTTACCAACCTTTTCGTCTCCTGTTATTGAAAGTCATATGCATCGAATTCCAGGATTGTCTGAATCATTTTTGTTTATGTGCGATGATTTCTATTTGGGTAAAAATGTTCAGCTGAGTGATTTTTACACGAAAGAGGAAGGTTTTAAGGTACATTTCATATTTAAGGAAGATTATATTTTGTAAGTTGATCTGCAATAATGACGAAAGGACTTGTAACGATGAACTGTGACCTTTTTTTTATCAGTTTTCTTATTATTTGAATATAATACATGTACTTGTGAAGCAATAAAATGAACATAATTTCAGTTAAATATTTTATTTTATTTATTTATTTTTTTTTTTTTGGGGGGGGGGGAATATTTTCAATACAATATGCTTAAACATACATATTTTTATTCTATCTCAATTTCTCATCCAATAAACAGATTCGTTGGGATGGCATGTTACACTTTTGCAGCCCGGAATGTTCTCATTTTGATGTAGGAAACGGAGTTTGTAACAAGGGATGTGACAATGATATATGTGGTTTTGACCATGGTGACTGCAGAAATCTTACAGAATCCGTGATGCGTATAGGACATCCTGTTGGCTTACATTACGGGTCATTATATCACACAATGGCAATGTTTAACCGGAAAAAATCTATGTTTGATTTATCAAAGAACTACTTTATGCCGCCACACAGACCGCTTTTGATACAAAAACAAATTGCAAAAGATATGGAAAACATGTAAGCTTTCATTCAGGTAACCTTTCTTAACACCCTTTACTGAACACAGGGTCTTTCAAATATAATTTGTTATTTGAAATACCCTGCTGAACAATTAATAAACCAAACACAAAATTAAACGTGCTCATGTAAAACTTGTCAAATTTTATAAATCAATTAATTCAGTTTAATGTTTGCTGAAATATTTGTAAAGAAGCAGTATAACATAGAAATAACATTGTATTGGCTATATAATGCTAAGCAATAATTAAAGTGATGAAAATCATAAAAGAAACTTATATATCTTTTCAAGTTTTCATGAAGAGTTCGAGCAATCATCATCACTACATTTTCGTTCGCAGTTTAATATTCAATATACGATGGCATACATGAAATTTATTTCATCTGCACGTATTACCATACCAACAGAACAACTATTTGATAAACTGGAAGAAGTTCGACCTGGGTAGGTGTACTTTCTGTAAATTTATATAGTTAAACTTATAAGAAATTTTAAAAAAAAAAAAAAAAAAATGCGGTTTTATTTTTTGTATAAATTTTTACTAACCTTTTCTAAAATTGAAATGCCTAATATTAAAAAACATCGATTTCCCGTTTTTCTTTTTATAAAATTGAAAATTTCATTTCACAGAATGATTTCATACAAGACGTTTGAAAAGTTTGCGGATACGGTCCTCAGAAAATATTTAGCGGTATGTCATAATGTGTGGTCTGCACAATACCTTTTAAGAAAGATATATCTTATTGCTCTGCTTATCATTAGAAAACATAAACGTTGAATAATCATACTATAAGGAATTTAGATACATCGTATCTTAGAAAAATATATTCTTTACTACAGACACTACTTGATAATTGAAACCTTTAAACAATTTAAAAATCTGTATAATGATGAAACTTATGAAATTTAAGATCCCAATAAAGATATTATTCATATCAGAAAATAAGAACTCTTGAAAAATAACAATTATGCAATTAGTCGAGTTCAATACTAACTTATGATAGTTTTTGGTAAGCATTACTTAACTACATAATATATAAATATTTCTTTATTGAATATCTTCTCACATGGATACATGGATTTTATTTCAACTCGCTTTTTTGTGTGCAAGAAAGAGAATCCTTTAATTAATTGCAGACTCTTGCTATGAAATACATAATATGACCTCCAATTTTCTCTTTTTTTCAAGAAAATATCGTCTTAACTTTTATGGTATATCAAAATTGTTTGATAAAATTATGAATTGTTAGTTAACCCATAGAAAATGTCATGAGTAAAAAATAAATAAATAAAATGGTGCAGTAAAATGATAAAAATTGAGTATTCATTTTAGGTAGTAAATCTTATATATTAGTGTACATGTATATATTGCAATTTCGGAGACTGATACTATAGTTTGATTATGAAAATATAACATTTGATTTGAGACTCTTTTATAGAGTAAGTTTGATGCAGTGATGAACGCTTCCCTACAATGCCTAGGAACAAAATATAAAGAAATTAGCAAAGGATTAGAGGTAATTTGCAACAATTTACAATTTGGAAACCTGCTGCTACTATGGCTTTGTTTGTACAGTTATAATATTACACGTTTATTGGCAATCATAAACAAAAATGTTATAAGCATGGTTTACTATCATATGCATTTCTAAGTAATTTAAGTTAAATTATAAAGCTTATATTGATTTTCTCTATTACAAACAAGGTGAATGTACGTACTTTTAAAATTCGATATGGACTTAAAGACTCACAAATTAGCTATGTTTGAAACTTGTGTTGTCTCACGGTAACCGACGACACTGAGGAGGTATTTAAAGTAAAGATAACCTCAGTTGATTAATATACAGTATGTATATGCTTAGTAAAGTGTGATTTATTTTTCGATATTCTATGATAACTGTATATTGTAGATCCCAAAGCATTTGTTAACCAAGTGCCCAGCCATTACTGACATCACAACACAAGTCAAAAATACAACATTGAAATACAAGTAAGTTTCTTTTCGATTATATCATTTTAATGTTATTATAAACAAGTCAAAATTCGATACGGTCCCCTTATTTCATTGTATATATTTTAATGCGTATACAACAATTTATTAGTTAAAAGTGATATTTTGATAATTTTGATTAAAGTGTAATAATTTGTTGTTTTTGCTATGTTCTGATTAATCACTGATTTGAGACATGTAACCTGGATAGGCGTAGCTTTTAAGATTTTTGTGCATGGGTGATACAAGTGGTATTTTTTTTTTATTAAAATTAAGTAAATAATGTATTTGGTCATTTATAATAAATTGATTTTACAGATAACGATATATTTTGAAGTTCTGCAAATCAAATACAAGGGGATTGGTTATTTACTTAATTTTAATAAAAAATATCTGTCAGGGTTCAGATAATTTCATTACATGACATGAAATGGGTCTACATAAGTAAGATATTTCTAGTTTGACTCATTTTATACTGAGTCTAAAAGTCGTGTTATATCTTCTACCTTTTTAAAAAAAATAATAAAAACATTGATTAACTGTGCAGCTTTTTTAACTAGGTTTCTATTCGATAATTTGATGACTTACTGAATATTTTTCTTATCTTAATACAACAACTATTGATAATCAAAGCACAGAAGGCGCTGAATTTGTTTGGGTCTCAGACTGTAAGAAAGGTACAGGTTGTGAGATTATATGTATAGTGCCACCAATGCTTTCCAGCGTTTTAATTGTAGTAAATTGGCTATAAGACTAATTGCAACACTGATATTCAATCCAATGTTGATTTGACTTAAACAATTTGAAAAAAAATGAGTTGCCTTTACAGGGATTTGAACTCCAGACCTCTCGCTTCCAAAGCGGGCGCGAAAACCCTTCAGCCACGGTGAATTTATATGTGAACGGTCTGAAGAAAACCATATTATTCTAAATTAAGGCTTGTAACGTCTTTAACTGTTGTTTAACACAGATGTAGATAATCCTGGAGCTTACTATAAGCATGTATATTTATAAAGAATCGAAGGGCTGCAAGTTCTGTGGTATTTATCTAAATCGTACTGTATATATGTATGTATTGTCCTGTATAAGTTTATTTTTATGTATTATAATTCATTTTGCAAGGCACCAGAGTTTGATACATACGGAATTCTGCATAACTAGAGTTGCATCAAAAAATCATTTATGTTCATTTTTTACGACAGCCACACTTTATCCTTGCATATCATGGCTACTTCCTTAACAAAGACTTAAAAAAAAAAGTTTCCTCGACTGGGATTTGAACTTCAGATCTCTCTCTCACTAAGCGAGCGCGTTACCCCTGCACCACGGCGGTGTTATACAAAGAATGTCTGAATAACATCAAGTCATTCTAAATACAGAACTTTCATTGCATTTCGGGTTTGTAATCCTTATTAATTTCGAGGTATTTTGTTCAGGATAAACCTGTTGTTTAAAATTGAAGTAAATAATTTAGCGAAAATCTTCTCGCACAAACAGTCCGACATGTAGAATCTATATATTCCACTACTCGGCTTGTGTAGTATTCGGTAATCGACATCGCTAAAAATAGTATTTTCATTGATAAAATCATATTCATCCGCGTAATTTGTGATTGTGCATTTATTGACAATTCTATAAGCCAACGCTATTTTTAAACTTTGAATGCGTTGTAATTTGTTGGATACTTGTAACAAAATAAAAATATTTCTTTCTTTAAATCGCCAGTTTTAAGCTGTTTAGAGAACTACTTGTTGTTAGGTTTGTCGTAAACTTCTGTGTCAGAGATTGAATGTCCGCTTTGTGTTTACTTATTTTCGATCAGAAAATACAATAAAACAATATTAGAAATCTTCGACCATTCGGGAATTATTTTGCTTGAAAATTAATGCGCCTGTCTTTGACCATCTTTACGCAGTGATCTCCCCTGAATTTTTCGGCGTTAGTGTACATATAAAGGGAAGTAACCGCTTCAAAAAAGTGGACTACTTTCGGCATTTGCAATTAACAGCATTAGACTCTGAAATTTCGCTACCATTATTTGTTTGGTCTGACGACCCAAACAAATAAAAAACCCTGTTCTATTGCTTTTGATATCAGTGAACGCGTGACATGAATAAATTGATTTTAAATAAACCTACAAGTGAGATACAGTCATAAAAATATTGAATTATTTGATATACATGTATTTTTTTATGAAATAACGTCGTGAATCGCTAGTGGTTGTTAATATTTCTTATTTTTTATGTGTCGACATTTAATCAAATTACTTTTATCTCCTGTACAAATGAGATACTGTTTTGAAGAAAGAGTATCTAGTTTTGCAACATATGCAAGTAAAATGTTCACTTCCATGTCTATATTAAACACATTAGATCATACAATGCTACAACAGATGTTTTTATATTTTGGACAATTTAATGTCATAAAAGCCGTATGGCGGAGGAAACCCCCCACCCCCACTTTGACTGAGTTAACAACATTTACAGTTCTTGACCTATCTTAAGGGTGTCATTTCTTGATAAATCCTATTTAATTTTTCTTCTTTTTAACAGACATAGATTGCTGACATTAGCCGATTCTTACTTCATAATGCTCTCTAGCTTCCCTCGTGCACAGATAGATCTAAGAAATCTTAAAAGATCACCAAGGTAACAAATTATATGAACATGTATAAATCATTTAAATTGTTTAATTTCTTAACCTGCATTATCTTAAGCATGAATGTAATATTTTATTATAGTAATAATGACAAATTAGTTATGTGATGTAAAATAATTAATGTTTATATTAACTAAGAAATGAAATAAATCAATTGGCAAATTTTCAATGATGTTAATATTGAAGACTGACTCTTGTGCAGGTCTACTGGGCGTGAAAGACATTACACTTTCAATTTTTTCTATATGCAAACTGAGTGTTGTCTGGTGATATTTTTTTGGAAGACCTTTGTGATGAAATGTTCATTAACAATTACCTTTATAACTTTTCTTCTTTTGTTTTCCAGAAAATTCAATGCTATCAATGATAACATTGATCATACAAAAATAGAATCGGTGTTTATTAAAAAGGCGTTACACGAGTTTTTCGCGTCCCTGTTTCCTACACCATCACAATTTGAACTACGGACATGAAAGTGATTAATATCTTTTGGAAGTGCCAATACTCAGAATCATGTGGAGTAACTTGATATGGAACAAAATGCTGCACAGTAACCGTTATATACATGCAATACAAGTAGTTGCAGCACCTGTATACATTAAGTAGAAAAGCACAATAATAACATATGAAGGTTTCAAAACGTGTTAAGATTGGGAGATTTTAAAATCGTAAAATGTCGAGAGTATATTTATTTCATTTGCTACATATAACTTTTTCTGAATATTTGCCTTTTAAGAGTGAATAGTGTACCCATATACTATATAGATATTATGAACATCTAACTAAATTTTAGTGACCAAGTCTTCAAATACATGTCATAAAATGCATTGAAATTGCAGGCATATGGTTTATGTGTAGACATATGGTTCATGAAGTAAGTTGCATAATATAGTAAGTGCAAAGCGGAGGTTTCTAGTAGATGCAAAGCAAATACGAGTAGGTATCATAACGGATCGGTTTTTAAAGACATTGTAGACAGAATAATGAAGATATACCTGAAATGTTGGCATCTGGACGTTCACTAATCAGTTACTGTCAATGTAGAGTGGATATGTTTGATCTGATGTATTTTATAATGTTTTTATACAGTTTTTCAATTTTGCTTTATAAAACCTCATATCACTCATATCACTCAGGTAATGTATTTTCCTTTACTTTAGTATTTCACCTATACAGTACTCGATAATAAAAAGCATGAGAAGTATTATGACAAACACGCAGTTGTATTTTACAAGAAATAAATAGTTTATAAGAAATTAATATCCGGTGCAATAAAAGATAATTTCATGTAAAGAGTAAACTTAATTAGGGTTATGGAGTCTTTCTTGACTGCCATATTTCCCAGTTTTCAGTGAGAATCATCAGCAATGTTGTCAAATATGATCTATAAACTAAATAGCATCAAACACTTGGAAGAAGTGAAGGCAAGAAGAAACATATAGATACAAATATACAAGTCCCCATGTTGCCCTATTACATGCATCAAGATTTTTATTTACTGTAGTTTATCTCTAGATTTGCAGATGCTTCGGGACTTTTTGTCTTTGTCTCAGAATGACCAATAACCCCTTACTACTCAGACGTACATCTTGCTACTAAACAAGCTTTTCAAATTACAATATTTTTTAATTCACAAATATAATACTGCATGTACAGCTAAAGATATTCATTTACCAAAACAATATAAACTCTTGAAATAATTGATAACAGTTATATCATTTTAATTACTATTATTACATTTAAATAGTTTATAATTAAAGCTTGATTAATACAAGCACAAATCAACCACATTCAATTTCTAACCTCGGTATAAAGTTTAAGATTTATTATTACGGTAGGACAGGCATTCAAACTAAATGCTATATACAGATTTTAATCGTGCTTCTAAAACAACTTTAAAAGATAAAATGAGCCGCGCCATGACAAAACCAACATAATGGGTTTGCGACCAGCATGGATCCATACCAGCCTGCGCATCCGCGCAGTCTGATCAGGATCCATGCTGTTCGCTATCAGTTTCTCTACTTGTAATTGGGTTTGTAAGAGAACAGCATGGATCCTGATTAGACTGCGCGGATGCGCACGCTGGTCTGGATCCATGCTGGTCGTAACATTTGCTGGCCCAAACTTTTGTCATGACGAGGCTTAAATTATTGTGATGGTAAGTGATGATTTAGTTAAAAATTATCTAGATGTATTCATACCAAAAACAAACCCACTTGTGTATTCCCGAGTTATTAGAAATATATATCTTGTAAAAACAAATTCTTTCCTCACTGTGTCGTGGTCTGTTGGCTTATACACTTAAACCCGGCATCAATGTATATATACATATTTTATTGATTTTCTAAATTCAAATGTTTACTACTTCATGATGAATTCTGCTTAAACCGGTGTTATAGGGTTTTGACAATATTTAGCACTTTCCAGTACCGTCCATTAATAGCTCAATGATACTGAGTCTGCAATATTTTCAACTTTGTCGTATTGCACGTTCATTGGAGATTTATATTTTCTCTTTTCGATTTACTTTTTGCAATTTCCTTTCAATTTATATGTTTAATTATGTTTCATTGCATGAATTGAATATAATAAAATAACGACAGCTTGAGATACAATACTTGATAGAAGTTAGGATGCCTGGTATTGTATAGATAATTATTCATATTGCAACAGCAGTTGCTGTAGAAAAAATACAGTTTTATACAATATTCAGTTGTCACCATACATATTAGAAACTGTTCTAAATAATTAAGTTTAGAACATACTGTTGTTAAGACAAATAGAGGATTACGCCTCAATAAAAGTACTATTGGAAAAAGTGGAATTTTAATACATGAATTTTTACCTATTTGAAACGAAATTCATGTTTTGTAATCACAACTAATAATAGGAAAAAGTTGCAATAATTGTTTAATCGAGATTTATTCGTTTGATTTGATTGTTTCGTCGACATGGCAAAGAGAAGGATATTTTGCAGACTCATAAAAGTTTTATGTTTGTATTTCATTTTGTTTATAATTATTTCTTTCTTCACTTGGAATTCAGACAAAAATGAGACAGAATCTCAGATGGATGAAAAGGTATGTAATCTGAATCATTTGTGCAATAGTTACAAGATTTAAAAGACATGTTTTAAGCATTTGAAAGATTCCTAGACTACTCATTTCCATATCGGCAAATGTCACAAATTCTTTTTTTTTTATTCATATTCCTCATTTTACATGTTGGTTCGAATAATAAGTAAATATCTTACATCAAAGAAACCTTTCGTGTATTATTATGTGAAAAGTTCTGTCGTAGGCAAACAAATCTTAGACTCAATGAGATGTGACATTCAAACTGAAACAAATTATGCTATACGGCAGAATAAGATGTCATTATAATTCATGATGTTAGATACTCTTTGATGTTTTGACATAAGCATTTTGATATTGTCTAAAAGAAATTAAGTTTAAGGTAACACCGTTTGACATTTGGTCATTTAAAACTTGCACAAATAAATACATTTTGTTGCCACTTACGTTTGTCAACATTTAATATGGATGAATCATTTGCAATGTCTTTTTATCCTTTCTTTTATCTTATTTATTATAGTAGATATTCTTTTAATTTATTCAATATTAAAACTGAAACTGTCGCTGGCTCTGTTTGATCAAAAGTGTTTTAGATGACAATGGTACAATCATGCATGCTTGAATTATACTATAAATGCATATTTACATATTAAAAATGGCCAATGGAAGTTGAAAAATTTAAATGTCTACTCTTATTAATGATTTACAAATAACATACTTTCTCCGGAGGTACTTAATTGACATTCACGTTTTGGGATCTGTTTGTTTTATTTAGGCTTCATACTTATATTGTAGCGGTTGTATTTGAATTTAATTACCTCTGAAAAAGTCATTTATAAGACCTTGACAAAATCAAAATTATATTCAACTGTGTTGTTATGTCATGTTGATAATACGTTGATTGTATGGACCATCTGTTACATAACATATATGACATCATTGAAAATAACCAAAACAGAAACCAAGGGATAGAAGTTTCTACGAGGGAATGATTTATGTAATAAACATGTAACCATATAGATAACACTATTAAAGATATACATAAACATGTACATAAATAACCAATAATAGAAAAACGTGAAATATTTCAACAGTAATGTCTTTTCAGAAATAGATATGACTTGATGTGTTATTGTTTGATCCTCTTCTTATTTCCTTATATGTCAATGTCTTCAACTTATCCACTTATCTGTAAAATATTATTTGTACATGAGTAGAGATCTTCTCTATGCATTTAAAACTGTTGTAAAAAAGCATAAAATTAAACAACAAACAAAACAAACCAAAAATACGTTACAACTTCTATTGTATCATTTTACAACATCCGTGTTTTATTCCATTATTTTAGTTATCGTATGGCCACGAGTTTTTGATAGATGAACACAAAGAACCAATAGATTTGGTCTATTTGTGGGCCAATGGTAGTGATCCTAAATTTATATTGGATATGAAACGTCAAAGGGCATCGGAAGAACCTCAAAAATATCAACAGTACGTATATGAATTCTAACTTTGTTTCAAATGTGAATGGTATCAATTGGTCAGCAAGAGTGTTTTCCTTTGAAAAAAAATTCGCCTTAATGTCGCTTTGTATTTCCGTTATACGAACTTTAGTAGAAAATAGCCGAGAAAGGAAACCAAATAAAAGAAAAGGAAAAACTTAGAGACCATCATAAAACAGATCCATTGTGAATACTAACGTGTTTGCGTAATGTTTAAGAAAACAAATTTAATTTTGTAATGAAAGTCATGACCCATAGTGCCCCAGAATATTCTTTTCATGCCCTGTTATTGTTTCCAAGAAGATACCTATTACGCAATTGCCCGGGACCTTCTTTTGTTTCAATTGCTTTCATCTGGCAACAAGTTAGAAACAGATACAGTAATTTAATATTTTGAATGGAATTCAAAATACTATTTTGTTTACATTTTGTTAGCTCTATGACCAATAGGTTTACATTCAGCACTGCTTTCTTCCGGTAAGAGGCACCTAACATGCTCTCAAACAATTTTTACAAGTTATAATACTCATGTTTGTCCTTTCTAATAAAGAAAAAAATGTTTCTGAAACATAATGTGCCTTTAAATTTTGCACCTAATTTTAAAAGCATTGTAAAACTAGATTTACTATGTAAGCTAGTAACACAAAACTGAATCAAACGTGCTTAACGCTTGAAACGAAAGAAAGTCATATTTTCTTATTGTAAAGTTACCTTATATAAAGTTTAGTAAATGGTAACAGTAGTGACAATTATATTTATTTGAAAGCGCGCCTTCATTTTAAACAGTTGCTTTATAAATACTATTTTGAAACTGCATTACTTTTTACTGTGATAGCTTTGGAAATTGATACATATTGTCTTTTCATATCGTACTTGTGCTATGATTTATGAATTAAGTTTAAGTTAATGCTTACAGTATGTGCTAACAAAGTGTTGCACCGGTAAATGAGCACCTACATATGAGAATTTATGCGGATGATTTTAACGAATGAACATTCACTTTCTTTTTCGTAGTTAATAATTTGACATATTACATATTCAGAGGCCTTTTAGCCGTAATATTAATTACTTCATTTCTACATTTGTCAGTATGGGACGGATTGTTCTGTAAAAAGTGTTTCGTAAACCTCATTGTTAGACAATGCTGAAGTCTAATCTACATTTTGTACATCGGTTAGTTTTTACAAACTGATTTATCTTAATTATGCATGGATCAAGCCTTATGTTTTGTAAACACTAGATGGTTTGAAGACGACAATTGATTGCTGAGTTAATTACTTAATTTATTTCAATGCCAATTGTTTTTATATCCAACTTGGTTGCCGAAAGCATTTTTGATCACATAAGACTCAAAATATAGTTGCATATGTAATACTTACCTAGCAGAAGACTCGTCTATTGATACTTTAGGTGTTGCTTTGACGCAGAAATCATACATGTATATTTTATACATGAATTATTTAATGAATATATTTTATTAGCGATCAAATCTTCACAATGATAACAAAATCTAAGATATCAACTTTATTTCATTGTCAACTTTTATTTCATTAAAGAAACTTTACACTTCCGATGTTACATATTACATTATATCTGAACACGACATTAAACATTCATTTCATAATTTTGTGTTTTCAGCATTTATTATGAACACTGTTCGAATATTTGGTTCTCATACCTGTAGAAAGATATCTCTTATTTTGTAATATCATACATTCTTTCTATGTAACAGTCCCCTCAACTGTTCAAGACATACAGAATCTGGCGAATACATCCACGTAATTGTGGTATATCCCGGTATACCTCAAACTAAAGTTTCCATGGAGACCAAAAACATCAAGTTACTTTTCAACGTTACAGACAACGACATGGAATACACTGTCATAATTCCAAAACAAAATAAACACGGTATAGTATACTGCGTCATTTGATATTTGAGTTGTAATACATGTAGTTTGATTCAGCTTCTTAAAACCATCCTGGATTGATATATGACAAAATGCAATTCATGGCAACTATATACATGTATTATTTGAATCCTGTATAATATTTTATAATGTGCTACGGTATTTATTCTTAACATGTGTGACCTTTTTCATAAAATTGATGTTTGAAGACGAAAAACTTTTTTGTGTTCTTTAATTAAAGGGGATTTACTTTTGTTTTGCAGTCGTCGGGATAATGAATATACTAACTGAAATAGACGGACGGATGTATATATGCATGTGTGGTTATATAGTGAGTCAATTTATTGATAAGAAGTTGTTAACTTTAGGATACGCCAAAACGTTTGATATTATTTCTGAAAATATTGCTATCGATTTAAGAAAAGTAAGTAATATTGAATATACTTTTTGAAGTGGTGATATGGTCTTTTTATGTATTGTTCAGGTCAAACAAATATAACTGGCAAGACGAACTTGTTTGGTATGAGATAAAACACAACACTTAGGCTGAATGAAATAGGGCATTTATTAAATTCCATAAATGAAAATTGTTACAAAATAACAAACAGAATAGGGCCCATTGACATAAATTATTTTATGTGAGCATAAAATCTTATTTATGCATACTTGTTACGAGCCAGGCGTAACGAGAAAGAAAAGCCAGCAATAAACTTGTAACAATAAAAATTTTTTACAGAAAAATTATTAAAGAAAAATAAAATAACAAATTATGTTTACAAATACCTGAAGTCCAAATAAAAATGAAAACTCAAATGTCTAGTCTGATCCTGGAATGATCCTTTTTAAATAGCACAGTTAAATCCAAGTTAAATCCAAGAACACTTTAGAATAAATTCCCACAATAAAATCCACAAGAATAATTTATTTTAAAATCCAAGTTCCAATAATTCACTTAATATCCAAGTTGAAAAATACTCCAAATATATTGATGTCTTAAAAGGTAACTGATGACTTAAAAAGATCACTGATGAGTTAAAAGGTAAAGGTAATGAAAAATGTCACTTTATATATATTAACTAAGAAAATTCCAGAAAGGTCTATTATGTTCTAAAGTAATCATAATCTAGCAACTTCAACAATAAAGAACATTCCAGAAGTTTCTATCTAAATATAATGCATGAGTTTTCTACAACAGTTAAGAAAGTTCTAGTACATACATGTAGTTAATGTTCTAAAAATAGAACAATGATAATATTGGAAATACCAACTGGTCAGATATAAATTATATACATGTAATATGTTGCATACATAACAATACTTTACTGCATATTTCCAAAAATACATGTAACACATTTTTTCGGATTAGTACATACCAATAAATTCTAAAGTATGATATTTCATTTTCCTGTTTCATATTATATAGTAAAGAGAGGTGCATAGTGGTGAAGGTGTATTCCTCTCGATCCAGGATCGTTTGTTAGAACCATAACAGGGTCACCAGGATCACGACCATTTTTTTATAATACCATATGATGTCCACGAAAATATACCAATATATACATGTCAAATTAGATTATTTTTTACAAAAGAGAAATATCTTTATTACTGGTAGTTCTTTTATTTAACGTGTTTCACGTTTAAATATGTTTTGAATATGTGAGTTTTTAGCATTGTGTAGTCATGCAATAAATAATAAAAAATGTTTTTATGAAATGATAACAAAACTAAGAGTAACAAATTCTTTCAAATTTTGTACTAAATGAAATATTTGTATTTCAGACAAATGATTACAGCATTCAATCAAAGAAACAACTGGACAACATGTACATAGTAAAAAGTTCAGATCGTTCGGCACAGAATATCTTCCTAGAAAAACTGAAACGTCTAAAAGGGGTAACGCATTTTTATGCAACTGTATGCCTTTTTCTGTTTTTGCGTACACAGCACCTTTACATGACGTATGTTTAAAGTGCTGTTGTTTTTGATCATTTTATGAGTAATACAAAATATCGCGTTTTTCATCACAACGTCTTTGAGAAGAAATATAATATATCGCATCATTTACATCATTTTAAAACATAAGTAAATTTATTGTTAATGGTTTCAAGTTCTTAATTCTTAACTATTCCTGCAATTCAGAAATGAGCCTGCTTTACCAATGTTTAGAACAAGTGAACCAATATTATGGGTATTGTATCACCCTTTATAGATTCATTATTCCATTTGGAAGTATTTCAGAATGTCATTTGTTATTGCCCATCTCATAAATCAGCATATCGTGAATATATCTTTAATAAATTATCGTTTCAGTTGGGATTTATCAAGCAAGAAGAAGTGAATGATAGAAGTGAAACTTACGTACTTGTGTATGTCAAACCAGGCGTACAAAGTGATAACATTATTAAAGTAAGTGTATGAACCTTTATAAGAATGATATGTTTTTTCAAACCTTTCTGATTTATTGTGGAATGAAACATGAACAGTATCAAATATATCACGTTAAGTGATAATTATAGAAAAATTATTTAATTTGTATATCATTTCACAATTTTTTTTGCACCCTTTAACAGAGATTGAAACGACTTGATGGTCCCAATATGGATATGAGAGCAGCAATACTGGTCTGGGACACTGATTCTGTAAGTAGTGTTCAATAAATAGAGCAAAATTAACACACAAATTTATTTACTGAAAACAAAATTGTTTAGGTTAGATTATTTTTGGTTTCTTTCAATTAGTATCGATATATCTAAGTGCATATAATCCATAATAAATAAGAAATAGAGGAAAAACAACGAAACAATTGTACTTATACATTAAAGAAATAGTATGACTATATTTTTTTAAGTAAACAGATAAATATATGACTAACTTGTCAGTTATCATTGCAGATTGAAATAGAAGGACTCGATAAAAGACCAAATACATTTCAAGACAATGATCAGCTAAGATTTTCATTGAGATCAGTGGAGAAGTATGCCCCTTGGATAAACCACATTTATATCATCACAAATGAGCAGATACCATGCTGGCTGAATACATCAAACAAGAGAATATCTGTGGTTTTTACAACGGTAAAAAATTGATACAAATATGAAATGCATGTTTGTTTATAAATGTGGTTATAATGAGTGTGGAGATAAAGAGCATTTCTTTCTTTCACTTTCACGATACTACATTATTTTTAAATGCACTATTATTTATAAAAACTTTATCATTTTATAAATACTTCATGATTTTAGCACTATGCGTTATTTCAAAATTTCTTCTTTTGTTTGTTAATGCTTTTTTACATACTACATTACTTTATAAATATTCTTTTATCTTTTTTAAAAATACTCCATAATTTTGTTTTATAATTACATCATAATAATATAAATACTACATAATTCTAAAAATTCATAATTACTTTATATATATACTGGTGCCTCATATTTCCGTGGTACTTAACTGTTATACTTCATAACAGCAAAAGTTAAGAGGATAAAATTCTGGAAAACAAAGTGGATATTGTAGGATAGACATGTCATTTGCATCAAAGTTTATTCCATTTAATGTTTGCATGTAAGCAATTATGTATACAACATTGTAATTAACACCCATCTGTGGCCTTGTGAGTAAATTTGTGTTCTCATATTTCCAAGGCAATTACATTTTAACAGTTTCAAAAGCAAAACCAATAGTAAACTTTATTTATTAGTACACCTATACCTAGGCTCATCTGAAAGGGGCAATTTTCTCTTTGGCATTTATCAAATACCTCAATGGTTGTTTAACAAAGAAGATTTTCTTAAAAGGTTTGAAATCTAAAACAAAAATGGTGAAATATTAAATAACTTTGCTCTTAATCTGAATAAAATAAATCTTTTTAGTTCTATTTGAAACATTTCGATAGAAATATAATAAAATAGTAAAAGTAAAACTACTGTCAGGTTCATTAAGTCTAGGAGGCACTTTAGACTGTTTAAGCCTGATACCTTGGAAATATGGGTACCACGGAAATACGAGGCACCAGTATACTTTATATTTTTTATTTAAACAAGAAAAATCTCAACCAAACTGTTGAATCAATGAGGATTATCTTAATTTTGGAACTCCTGTGCACTTGTTACTTGAGGACGAACACAAACAATTCGTTTTTTTTTTCTGAAAGCTATGATACAAATATGAAAATGGATTAAATATTATTAAAAAAAAAAACAAACTGAAATGCAGCTGTATATTAACTCAATTATTTCTTGTATTTTTAATTCCAGGATTTATTACCAAACAAGAGGGATTTACCAACCTTCTCGTCTCCTGTTATTGAAAGTCATATGCATCGAATTCCAGGATTGTCTGAATCATTTTTGTTTATGTGCGATGATTTCTATTTGGGTAAAAATGTTCAGCTGAGTGATTTTTACACTAAAGAGGAAGGTTTTAAGGTACATTAAATATATAAAGTACGATATCTAATTTTGTACACTGATCTACATTAATGACTGAAGAGCTTCTAATGATGTACAGTGTCTTGTTCATTATTTGTATCGTATAATACATTTACTTGAAAAGCAATTAGAAATGAAAAATGAAAAAAAGAAATTTATAAATTAATAAACTTTGTTTGTAATTTGATAATTAACATACCTGTTAATTCATAAATATTTTGTCTCTCATTTTTTTTTCATTTTTTTAAACAAAAAACAGATTCATTGGGATGGCATGTTACACTTTTGCAGCCCGGAATGTTCTCATTTTGATGTAGGAAACGGAGTATGTAACAAGGGATGTGACAATGATATATGTGGTTTTGACCATGGTGACTGCAGAAATCTTACAGAATCAGTGATGCGTATAGGACATCCTGTTGGCTTACATTACGGGTCATTATATCACACAATGGCAATGTTTAACCGGAAAAAATCCATGTTTGATTTATCAAAGAACTACTTCATGCCGCCACACAGACCGCTTTTAATACAAAAACATATTGCAAAAGATATGGAAAGCATGTAAGCATTTATCGATGGTACTTTTCTTAACCCAATAGATATGTACATGAGAAACATTTGATTTGGTAAAACGCCCTTTACTTAACACTGAAGCAAACAAAATGAAACGTGTTCAAATTAAGTTTAAATTTTTGAAATGTTTGTAAATGAGTATTATATCACAAAAAAGCATAGGAATAACCTTAGATACGGAGAAAAGGTTATTATTGATGGTTTAAATAATGTAAAAAAATATCATTTGTTTGTTTGATACACCGACACAGTATAGGTGATATGGCGACGTTACAGCTTTACTGGTGGAGGAAGACCTCAGGTGCTCCTCCTTGCATTATTTCAGGCACGAACGGGCACCTGAGTAATACCACCGACATTTCGTAAGCTAGCTGGATAGTTTCCTAACATGAAAATCCAAACTTCCTGTCGGGATTCGAACCAACAGCGGTGAGGGGCAAGTGCTTTGATGTCAAAGACCTTGATCACTCGGCCACGACTTGTAAAAATACCAAATGTTTTGTATTGTATTATGTACATGTATATCATTTCAAGATTTCATGAAGAGTTCAAGCAATCATCATCTCTACATTTTCGCTCGCAGTTTAATGTTCAATATACCATGGCGTACATGAAATTCATATCGTCTGCTCTGGTTACCATAACAACAGAACGAATATTTGATGAACTGGAAGAGGTTCGACCTGGGTAGGTCTATTTATAGTTAATTCACTTCAGTGTTGTTATATTTCCTGTCCCTCGGAATTATTGATTCCAGTACTTTTATCCGTAAAAAAAAGTGCCGTGTGGCAGGTGTAAAATTTGCCCCCGTACATCACTTCGGTGTTGTTATATATTTCTTGGCCTTGTTGATTCCATCACATTCAAGTGTTAAAATTTGAGTACCGCTCAAGCCCGTGCCAGGGTACGTGAGGGATATTGCACTTTTTAATTATCCCTTATGCATATACTCAATCAAACTGAGTCTGCAATTTTCATGTAATTTTGTTTTGATAAATGCTTCCTAAGGAACACCCTTTTTCCAGATTTTTGTGTACATTACAAGATATATTGCACTATCCTAACACTGCCAGAGATTATCCCATTTAAAACGAAGAAGGCTGAAAGTGTGCGTTATTTCACCACGACGATCTAGCCGTTCTTTTTCCGTTCCTGTATTGTATTGCATTCATTTACGCTAAGATCTGCATGCTTTTCTTGACGATAAATTCATTAACAGTTTTACAACAGATTGGAGTAGCTTATTGTTCAATATTTGAATGATTGACTTATAAGACTAAATTTGATTTGCAACTTTTCTTATTTTTCTTATAGCAAAGTTGATAATTCTATTTTACAGAGTGATTTCATACAAGGTGTTTGAAAAATTTGCTGATTCGGTCCTCAGAAAGTATTTAAAGGTATGTCATTCTCGAATTCTTCACAGTACCTTAAATAAGACAAACATATCTTAATTCTTGGCATATCATTGAAAAAAAATGTACGAAGAGAAAATATTTGATTTGGAATAACTATATGTAGATTTTTCATAAGGAATGTAATAATCATATAATAAGAACATTTTTCTTGTCCATCTTTTAAACTAGACAAATCCATTAATCATTTTCAAGGAAAATTTTGAAATATGAAATGACAATCATTATCCAATGGCACATACGTAATATGCTTTTATCAAGCATTATATAGAGACATAAATATAGATATATTTTTAGATTGAACATATGTCTTCCGTTTTTATATACAAATGGGTGTCCTTTTAGTTTAAACATATTTATTTAAGCTCGATTGCGAAACAAGTTCTTGCAACTTATATTAATCACTTTCGAGTCCGCTTCCTGGAACCAACCAGTACTGGTGTCATATGAAGAAACATGGTCGTAACCCGAGTAGGGCTCGAACCCATGATCTCTGGGTTGAGAGGCAGACACCTTAACCACTAGGCCACCGCTCCCCTTTTCACGTATAGAAGCTGCGCGAATTACCACATGACTACCAGGATTCACAAGTTTGAAAACGAATGTGAAAATACTGTTTTATCTGTATGAAATAAACAAAAACATTTGGAAGTATAAGCTTATGTAAAATGTATGTCTGTAATGAATAAGAAAATAAAAATGAAAAGAGATGGTACTGAAAAATATATCACGAAGAAAGTTTGAAGATAGTTGTCTGACTATTTTTATAAAATCATTACAGCAACACTTGATATAACTAATAGATATATAAATAATTACTTTAAAAAAATTCCTTGATAAATTAATCAATAAATGTTCCTTTCACATGTCTAGGTTACTATATTGAAACCTTTATTAAGGAAGAAAATACAAATACGTTGATTCTATTATTACAAAGAAAGCCGACACCATAGTTCCATTAGACTCAGTTCCAAAGTATGTTAAGTGAATTTGAATTTCTATTACAGACTAAAACTGAGGACATAATGAACGCTTCCTTAACATGTTTAGGAAGAAACAGAAAAGAAGTTAGCAAAGGATTAGAGGTAACTTGCAATAATTCAAACAATACTGAAGTAATAGTAAACGTGTTGATTATGTGAAAACTTTGAGTAATACTAATATTATGGCAATGTTACTTGTACTTTATTTTATAAATATCATTATAGACTTTAAAAAGGACCATGAAGTATTTGAATTTCAATTTTTCATCGGCTGCAAATTATAAGTACATTTAAATGAGCATATTTATGGAGAAAAACGAAGTTCTTATCTAAATCTTAGACTGCTGTATTATTTCAATTTTTGTATTATTTAAACTTGCATTTAATGTTGTATTAATACATATAACGTTGAATGCAATATCTGTTTTCAAGGATACAAACAGCGTAACTGATGACAGGGCCTTGCATACATTGTTTTAAGAATTCCTTAACACTTTTGAAAATTACACTCGTAAAAAATATAGCATCTAAATTAAGCCTAATTACTAATTTGAGCCGCGCCAGGACAAAACCAACATAATGGGTTTGCAACCAGGATGGATCCAGACCAGCCTGCGCATCCTTGCAGTCTGATGAGGATCCATACTGTTCGCTATCAGTTTCTCTACTTGCTATAGGGTTTGTAAGCGAACAGCATGTATTCTGATCCGACTGCGCGGATGCGCAGGCTGGTCTGGATCCATGCTGGTCGCAAACCCATTATGTTGGTTTTGTCATGGCGCGGCTCAATTTTATATTTGTTTCATGTTTTAAATAGTATGATAACTGTATTTTGTAGATCCAAAAGTATATGTTAACCGATTGCCCAGCCATTGACGACATCATAAAACAAGCTAAAATTACAAAATATAATTACAAGTAAGTTTTCTTTACATTAAATTATTTTTAAGTTTCAAGTTTTAGGATATTGTGACGGACTTATAACGCATTAAATGTCATCATGAAAAGTTTTTCCCTCTTTCGCAATCTACCTAGATAAATCGTGACAGGCAATTGTATAATAAAACTGTTATTTATATGGGGCATGAAAAAATTAGATAGCATAAATAGTTTTGTCATTTCTTAATTCGTTATTGATTAATTTATTTTACATATAAAATAGAAAATCATTTTAACGATTGGATTTTTCCCTTATTCATTATACGTATTATGTTTGTCCTATATTTAAAATTAGGCTTTTTGAATAATTCAGATGATTTGAACATAGAATTTTAGTTAACATGAAACTACTTCTATCACACAGCACAGAACATGAAAGATGAAAACTAACACCATGTAATTATTTTTGTTTAATTCCATTACATGTAAGATCTATCTAATTTCAGCAAAAGACTTGAAAGGACTTACAATTGTGATTGTATCTCTATAAAAGCAATATATTTTGTTGATTATTACTGTATTCTTTTTTAAATTTCACAGATTTAGAGTGCTTACATTTGTTGACTCCTATTTTATAATGTTGTATAACTTACCAAATGCAAAGAGAGATCTAGGAATTCTTAAAAGATCACCAAGGTAACAAGTTATAATTATGAGTACATATTTCACCCTATTCTTTCCTTCCTTTATTTCCGTTAACTTTTTTATTTATGACTAAGTTTTTTAAGTTATATTTGTAAATACAATGTATGTTAAAGTTTGTTTAGTGCGTCACCTTAGCGTTGTTGAACGCAAGTTGTCTTTTGGGATTATTAAATCTAAGCTTTCGAGATTGAGTATTGATTAAGTCTATGGTCGTTACTTCCCCTTATTTATCATTTACAGACTGAGTCAAAAATACTTAAATGGAGAGAACCCTTGGAAGCCATGTAAACAACAAAAATTCATGACCATTATTGTAGACTTTTGTTTGTTCGAGTCTGTTCATGAGAGATAAATATCTCAAGCTACCTAGTACCGGCTTACGCGGTGTTCAATTTAAGCCCAAAATGTGCTAGAATGAAACTGAGTCTGTGAATTTAACTTCATATTTGTTTTCTTTGCTGTCGAAGAACCTCCTCCTTCAAATATTTTATATTTACAAAATAAGGTTTTAATTTATGATGGTAGTGAAAAGTTACCCGTACGTAATTGAGTATTATTATATTGACCATTGATTCTAATACATTTAGTTTTGAAGTTTGAATACTGTTTAAGGTGGTGTCAATGGTTTGGGAAGATTACACGTAACATAATTTAATGAACATACCATCTAAATGAAAATACAATTTTCAACCATTTATATAATTATGCTGTCACTACTTTAGGGGGGTTTTTCATTTTCCTTTATTTTTACTTGATATCTTTAATATTGAACTAAAGTTAAACCCTTTTTGATAAAATGTAATTTTGTTGTATTTAATCACTTTTTATTTTCAGAAAATTTAATACAATCAATGATAACATTGATCATACAAAACAGGAATCAGTGAAAATTAAAGAGGTGTTACACGAGTTTTACGCGTCCCTGTTTCCTACACCATCACAATTTGAACTACGGACATGAAAGTGATTAATATCATTTGGAAGTATTTATTTTTAAAATCTTCAGACAGTGACTCGATATGGAAAACATTGCTGCACAGTGACTACTATATACATGCAATACAAGCATAATTACGAATTTGATGGCACAGGAGTTTGTGTAATATATATGTTTCAGATGCTTTTGATTTTTGAAGATGAATGTGTCCTCTGTCTCATAGGAATTTACATCTTTGGTTTATATGTGAGCTTGATGAAATAATACATAATTTATAAAGTGTCATTTTTATTTTCTCTATTCTTATTATGTAGCTCAATTGGCATTACCTTTTTATCTTTTCAGACCTTTTTGTATTAAAATTAAAGAGAAACAAAAGTGTTCTTATTTGTTAAAGCCAGACCTAGTCTGAACCTTAACAAACGTTTGATGCCCAAAATACAGTCAAGTAATCTTTTGAGGAATGGTAAATTCCAATCGATTTTGTGATAATGTTTTGAATATTTAGACAACAAAACAACCAAAATCGCTTGACGTCATCCGCTGTAGCCTATTGTTTATGTCCAGCACACACTCCTTTTCATGTTGCGCAAAAAATGTACATCTGGACATACAAAAGATTCTGATCATTGATATCCATTTGATAATATCTTATTTGAAATAAGAATAAAGACACTTTCGCTCTCATAATCTATTTTATTATTCATAACACTAACAACATATATCTGCCATTATTATAACTTTATGCTTCTACTTACGGGTTTCCGTAACTAATACTTCATACGTAGCATACATTGCAGTTATCATTGCAACTACTCATATAAGTACATACTAATGATAAAAGTCGTATTCAGCTACGAGTATATGTCACATTACAGTGCTAATGTCTCTGACAACATATGGACATCACTGCGATCCGGATGCCGATGCTTGTTTTGGCGTGTTTTGATTTTTGATTTAGCTCCTTCAGTGTATGCAATTTCTTCAACCGACACCAGTGTCACGCTGGTACTGCAATCGTCCTAGTTTTGCTATATTTCCACGGATGATTTCACTATCTGGATTCAGTTCTAATGCCTTGGTGTAATGTTCTTTTGCTTTTTCTATACTCCCCTGTGCAAATAAACATTTATTCATCAGTCATTTATTGTTTTGTCAATATTGATATAGATTGATGTAGAATTAATGTAAATATTAAAGATACAAGATTTGCTCATTGTTGTCAGAGAAGTGAGTTTTAATAACGTATATAATGCAGCTTGTTAATTCATTTTAATTGTAATTGTCTTAGTTCTTTGAATAAAATAAGATACTACGTATTAAAATGAAAATGAACACAAGTCATGAGTGTACATATAATTTATTAGAATCAATGAATTAGAATGAACTCATTTGGAACTCTCTCATTACAAAATTGAACAATTTCGCTCTGATATAATATTACTTTGTTTCAATTCATTTCTATATTATAACAAATGATTATTAATGTATAATATTATTATTAATATGTTGCTTTTTGCCATTACGTTGTTTCACAATAATATAATGATAATCAAAAGCAAAATTAATGAACTTCCGCAAAAAATACCTATTTTTTGTAATAAATATTTATAATAAAAGAACAATCAAAAGAAACAGTGGTTATAAAGTAGCAAAGCAACGCAATAATAACATATAAAGTTATCAAATTCTTAAAACTTCAGGAAATTAATTTATTCGTCGTCAAGTATAATAATCTATTAATACAAGAAAAACAAATAAATGAAAACAATTTTTGAATGTGAACTGCTTAGCATTGGTTTATGAATTGATATGACTAAACTTCATAAAAACTATAAACTAGTAATTATTTAAAGGAAAAACTATTTCTATTTAGCTATAGTTGTGTCAGCCCACATAGTGTCAATAAGCGGTGCATCGGACTTGTAATACAGGGTTCGTTGGTACGATAACTTCAAATCAAGAGACATTTCTGAGTAACAATTAATGTCGGACATTAAGTCGAATGGTAATTTGTCGCTCAGCGCATATTTAGAATTGGTGTGCAGACATAAATCATTACTGGCCAGATATCCAGGAAAGTCTAACTGATCGCTGAGAGATGAAAAATTGTCATAAAATCAGCGTTAAGACCAAACACAAAGTAACTATAAATATGTTGATATTCCAATTATATTTTTTCTGCAAGGTTGGAGAGAATAAGAAGTGCTTCATAGGTGTGTTTTTTTTCCCCACAAAATTGTGTTGTTTCATAAGAATTTATCGATGCGTGTGTGTGTGTGTGTTTTTTTTTTGGTTTTTGTTTTGCATACTTAATTTCAACACCATAATGTTGTATATACCGATTGGTAAAAAGTAAAAGTAAGAAAATAAAACAAAAGAGCAGCACTAATATGAAGTTAAATCATTATCAGTGATAATGAAGTCGAGTATGATATAATTTCTATGTTTAGATTAAATAGGTTTAAATTAGATAATAAGAAAACAACAAGGAAGCCAAAACAAATATTTGAATGCTCATTTATTATTTGTCTGAACAAAACAGTCATACTTTTAAAGGAAGCGCAATATCATCAATGTAAAAAGCAAAAAGGATTTAGATGACCAAATGCACATATTTAAATGATTCAAAATAAAATTAGATGGGTGATTACACCTTTGAAACAAAAAATGATATTTGGCGGTGAAAATACTTTACCAATGGTTCTTGCATGACAGCCTATAATAACATATACAGTCATTAAATCTAGCTTATTCTTATGTCTAAATAATAAAATGTTCAAAGTAAAATAAAAGAAACAATACTGTACATGATTTAGATTGTCAGTGGTAGATCTGTGATCTTTTACTTCGCTTAGCAGAAAACTTTTGTATCACTTATTGCGACAATGACTTAGGTTGTACATTTTTAGATTATATTGATATAAAAACACATATGATAAACTATTCAATAACTTACATTCATGTGATATATTGCACCACAGTTTCCATGAGCAGTCGGATGGCGAGGATTTATCCTTAGAGCAGCCTCATAATCCTTCAAAAAATAATCCCAATAATGATGCAAAGTTACACAAGTATAAAATTGACAAAAATGCATGAATATCAACCTCGCTACAATCGACAGTCCTTTTTATAGCTCATATCAGAATTCACTGATAATTATGTATCTACAAAAGAATATCAATATTTTTATATTAAAAGTATTGTAACCAGTCTGAGCTTACCAGCAATGCCTTTGAAAACATTTTCATATCTTTGTAATTATTTCCTCTGTCGACATATAACTGGTCTAGATCTTCATCACTTTCTTCATCGGACCGTATCATTAAGTCGACAGCCTTTGATAGATATTCAATAGCCTAGAATAAAAATTTTTTTTATAAGATTTGCGAAGTTTTATATGGTATGTTTGAATTCTTTCTTTTTCATCACTTTCTTTGAATGAATGTGTTAGATTTGATTTGTTTTATAATTGTATATGTTTTATATTATATCAGTGAAATAAATATGTTAATACCAATTAATCGCATGACTTAAACTGCTTAACACTTTTATGCCTTGTGTAATACGAATCTTAAATATTTTGCTTTAGAAGCTATACGTTTTGTCCTGTAAATAATCTTCATATAATGTTTTACCTGTTCGTATTTCTTCAATTTGCTTTTCAAATGAGCGAACGTTGTCAAATATTCCACACTGACAGGACTGTTCAACAATGCTTTCTGCATCATATCCTCAGCCTTCCTGAAGTCTCCGTTATTTGCAACAACTTTTGCCTTAAAGATTGTCATTCATAAACTATAACATGATAAAGAAAACATTTTCTCTGTCTTTCTATGTCATAAGTGAAGAGAAGTTATGACAATAGATGTACAAAGTACAATTATTTTTTTTAAAATGTAGATCTATGCAAAATAAAATAGATTTGTATTATATGATCCTTTATAAGCACAAAGAATAGCATTTTAATTATCGTTAAATATGAAATATTCATACATGTCTAACGAGTGTTTCTGTGGAGTTTTCATTTAATTTCTCGATATCGTCATACACAGCTAGTGCTTCCATAGTCCTTCCAGCGGTGTAATACAATATTGCAAGCTGCTCAAGAGTGTTCACATCTCTTCTGATAGTAAGTGCTCTGTCAGAAGAAAAAAGGAAGTTTCTATCTCCCATGTATACATAATATGCGATGGAAGCCGTTCCCCGAAAATTATGGAATCAAAACAAAAATAAAATCTGTGAACTCTGGTCGATTATGTCTGCGGATAAGAGGTTTTGAAATGTACAACTTTAACACGCCGCCCACTACAACCGGTCGGTTTGATTGAGAATCTATTCGACGTACCAAACAAATAATAATTCTTACACCGCTCTGTCACCTGCCACGGAATTAATATGTCAATCCGAAGAAAAATACGATGTTTTGTTTAAAACAACAGTGAGCTTGCAATATAAGAACGATTCTTAATAAATTAAGATTCCGAACGGAGATTAAGACTTATTTGCAGACAATAACTTACCTTTTCAGCAAAACTTCTGCATCAGTAGTAAAGCCCATACTCTTGTACTCGTGAGCAGCGTTCACAAGTGCTGCACTCTGTGATGAATCTAACTCGTATGCCTTTTTATAATAAATCGCTGACTCTTCATGCCTATCTGTATTAAATAAATTAAATGAAGTAATGTCATAGAATGTGAAAGTACAAAATTGTCAAAACTATTTATATAATTATATTAATATCAATACAATCAGTTGTGAAATATTGACATCTTTTGTAAGATAATTGAAAAAAAAACAGCAATAAAAAGAATGAAAAATATTCTAAACTAAAATGCATGATCATATGGAAGATTTTTTCTGCAGTGATAATAATGATGTCATTTAAAATGTTGAGAAAATAAGTTCTTTTGATATCTATACAAATTGAAATACATAATACGAATGAATTTTCACACTTACTTGTTTTACTGAGAAGATATGCATATCTTGTGTAAGCCTCAAAAAAGTCGGGGCTGACTTCTATTGCTGTCTGAAGATATACCTCGGCTTGTGTGAAGTTTCCTATCTCTATGAGACTTTCGCCGAGTGAGGACAGAGCCTCGGGATTTCTGTATTCGATCTCAACAGCCTTATATAAATAGTTTATTCCATCGTTCTTTAAACCACGTTTGCTATACAAAAATAAAACCTCTAATGCAAAAACATAATATTTTTGTTTCATTTTCAGTGTTAAAAATTTTAAGTAGTTTAAATACAAATAAAAAACAAACAAATCTAAAGTGCAAACATCTACATGAATATAAACATGATTCCATCGAAAGTACATGTACGTATATTTGATACTCGCAAGCCCACACCCCCTATTTTAGAACGTACTCGATGAAAACGGCGTGATAAAGAAAGAAAACAGCATATTTAAGCAAATCAAATGTTTTAATTTATTCGAACAGTAGATACCTTGGATGTTTATGCTTACTTACAAGAGAAGATTTCCCAAGTTGATATGGGCGCTTTGATGAGATGGCTGAAGTCGGATAGCCTCCCTGAAGTGTGCTTCAGCCTTTGTTTTATCGTCCAGTAGTGTCCCAAGATTATTATGAGCACTTGCATATTCGTTATCTAATCTATGTCAATAAACATACAACAACATAGGGATAAAAATGTTTAAACTAAATTTTACCAAGTTTTACTAAGGGGAAATACTCGTATGAAATTGCTTTAACTTATTATCAAATTCATTTCCCTTTCTGGCTGGTATAAGATACAACAATAGCGGGTTTACTTAAATAAGCAAGAACAATTCTACTTTTTCAGAATGAACTTATATATTTAACAACTCAAGATTCTTATAATTAAAATATTGCAATAGACTTTATCCGGAATTCTGCAAATGTGGGGTTTTCCAAGCTTATTCCCCGTTCCAACAAACTTTTACCGTTATAGCTTCACGATGCACTACCGGTCACAATAGAGTAGTCAATATGTAGCTTATTTTCAAAGTTGTAACTGTTAAAGATTGTTTGAATCCCGGATTAGCTGGGGGAACCAAAGCATTCTTAATTCCGCAGTAAGTCTGTTAAGATTAAATTAAACAAATACCTGAGGGCTTCTAGATAGTGATATCTTGCCTTCTCGTACTCATGACCGTCTTTTAAGTAATTTCCATAGTTATAATGCGTCTTTGCATTGTACGTAAGGGCTTCAACACCAGCTCTATAAAACAGTGTAATGTGAATAAAACATAAACAAATGTAACTATATAATCTTGAGAAAGAGGAAAATCGCGCCATTTTTTTTATCAAATACTTCCAACTATTTCTTATAAAGTGACAAAATTTTTGTGTAAATGTAAGCAGGTTTGGTTACATGTGACAACATTTTCTTTTAATTCTGAACGTTCTACTGGTACAATCTGTTGCATTTGGACAAAGTTTCCACTAGTTTTTTAACTAAACTTTCCTCTTTTACTGAATAAATATTTTCTATAACGAGATAATTTGTCATTCTGTTTCGCCGTACATGAGATACTGTTAATGCGTCAGTCACGAAACTATGATAATAAAAATTATTATAACAGTTTACTTTGATGTTAAAACCATGAAAGATTAAGATCTTTTCTAAATATTTGCATGTTTAAGATAAAAACGTTTCGAGTCTAATGCAAATAAATACTGTATAGTTTTAAGTTGATTTTATGAAAAACTAAACATCATAATTAAATATGCAAACACAAAAACAGAAAGTGCATTGAATTTGCAGACAGACAGTTCTCAAAGTATATTGTAAGCTGTAATTAGTGCAAAGTAAATGTCTCTTATAGATGCATAGTAAATAGATATTAGGAAAGATCGATTTTTCTTAAGAGGTGTAGACAAATATAAGAAGGAAAAATACCCACTGATGAAGTAGAAAAATAAAAACCCTTGGCGTAACATGTATAACATTTATTAATTAAAGATTTGTCCTTTTACTGTTTGCATGAATTCGGACGTGATTGTTCAAATTTATTTCATGGTATTACTTCTACTCTTCTTTTAAATAAGCTTAATAAAATCGGGTCTTAAAAATGTTCCTATAGGAAAGTTATATCCGTTATTTTATTTGTTTGTTTGGTTGATTGGGTTATACGTCACACCGACACAGTATAAATCATATGACGACCTTTCAGCTTTACTTGTAAAGGAAGACCTTAAAAGCCTTCCATGCATTATTTCAGGCACGAACAGACACCTGAGTAGAACCACCGACGTTCCGTAAGCTAGCTGGGTAGATTCTTCACTCGAAAGAATCCAAAGTCCCTTTTGGGATTCGAACCCACAGAGGTGAGGAGCAATTGGCCTGTTATTTATAAAGAACCCAATAATTGAATTAGATAATGAAAAGAAGCAGATGCATTTTACAAAACATTTACAGAACAGAGCAGAACATTAATTTCATTTTTTTAGATGTAAGCATTTCGCTCCTCATCAGTAACATGATTATACATTATTGTGTCAAAGTCAAACAATATAATAATATAATACAATATTGAAAATATTGTAACTGCTGTACATATGTCAAAAAATTTATGACAATAAATTGAGCATTTTTTAACATTTATTGCAATAAATTAACAGTTTGTATAAAAGCAAAATTTGGTACGGTTATAGAATCACATTCATATATATTTTTGCATATAGAATAAACTTTATCTAACCAGTATGATAAACTTACTTAAACAGAGTCTTTCTTGACTGCCATACTTTATTTTGTTGCCAAGTTTTCAGTGAGAACATGAGTAACAGAATCATCAGGAATGTTGTCAAATATGATCTATAACACTTCATAGCATCAAATAGTTGGAAGAAGCCGGCAGATACTAGTAAACAAAACCCCATGCTGCAATATTACATCCATCTATATTTATACATCAATTATAACGAAGACTTCTTTAGTTTTGTTTTTCTCTAAACTATTACGATCTGGTGTTTCAGCACTGCTTGTCTATGTCTCATATTATTCAATAACAATCTTTACTAAGGCTTTAATTTTTATGAGATAGACATGTTTTCAAAGTAAAAATAAGATTTGTTAAATTTACAAATATGTTACTGATGATATTCTTAGGTTAATTGTTGACTAAACAATTGTTACGTGTATCTAGTTTGAAAATACATTTTGATGATTCTTTCTGAGAAATTAATGAATTTATACGATTATTCTACTAACAATTACTTGTTCTTTGTGGGAAATACGACCGCAATGATTTAAACATTGAATCAGAAAGGATTATTAATTTATTTAGACCTGCACTAAATTATTTTAACATCTTGTTACCGTTAAACATATGTAAAATATGATAAACAAGATCAACAAGGAACAAGGAATATGTAACTTTGTATTAATTAACTTTTATAACTACATGTAGTAATTGGGTTTTTACAATTTTTTTTTAAAGTTGAAAAAGTTTATTACTGTAACACAATACAATGTACTATCATGACATAATTTGGATGGAAAATATTAGTTTTATATATAAAGTTTGCACGATTCACGGGAATTAGAATAAAGTGAATATCTTACCTTGGTATATATAAAACACGTTCTGCGAGGACGAATCCGACCGGGAAGAAAAGGTTAGATGCCGGAAGGAAAGGAATTGCTGTCAACATTAATGCCATAAGCAAAAGATGATTGTGTTTCTGACAAAAAATAACATTAGAAATATTAAATTGATATACTAGTAAGTTGATAAGGAAACTTATTAGTATAAAAATACGTATTCAACTATTACAATTCTAAATGATATACGAGTTAAGTGTAGACAAATATTTCTTTTAAAGACATAAATACTTAAAGATAATTTTGAAGAGTCAATTGACCAGAAGTTATATTAGGCGTATTTGTACCTTTATAGAATTTGAGAGGGACACACAGATCAAGTAAACAACCAGTAATATGACAGTGAATGTTGCTAGGTTACGTGGATCAGTGACATTTTCAACCAATGGCACGCTTCCATGTTGCCAGTCGTAACATAAGTTGATAGGAGCAACGAGCATCCATAGATTTAGAACCAGCAAGAAGCCATATGTGTAAAATCTGTAGCAAAATCAATAATATATTTTATACTAATGGTAAATATATACACAAATGTTTTTGTCATCAAATATATGTTTTGGGGAATTTTCTTTGCATACTGTTATATAATTTATTTCGTTGGATTTTTTATATACAGTACCCTGCCCAAACCTAACAAGAAGTTAAAGCGCAGTGCAATAGATTACTTTATATGTTAACCATAAAACCATGACAATTTGGTAAGCATAAAGTTACTTTTTTTCAAAATAAAACGGTGGTAGTTAAAATGAAATAGATGAGGTAAACCTGTTTTTGTTGATGAATTTTGTAAAATAAACTACTTATTCGTCAGTTATTGATTAATGACTTTTCCATCTGTTTGAACATACAAAAAAAGAACTGGAAATGAGAAAATAATTTTAAAACATTTATTTCCCATTTATATTCGAAGAGGTGTAAAATTTACCTCCATACCTTAAGGTGCAGTTTCATTATAAAGCAATAAAATGTAACAATGATTCCATTTAACGGTTATATTAAAAAGGTATTTTTTCTATTTAACAAAGTGTATCAACTTACATTAACGGTTTCAAATTAAGTTTTTTTTATTCATCACCTTTTCGTTTATTAAAAAGTACAGGGAGCATATGTAGTTAATTATGCGTATAGTTTAATTAACTGATTGAATAATTAATAGAGAATATTTTTGTAGAATGTTAAGATGTACTTAAAGGATATTAATTGGGTCGTAATTGAAGAACTGCTAATCAAATTAGATATTTTTTGTGAACTGTATGTGTCAGTGATACAAATGATATGATAAAAATCTCACAAACCAAGTTTTTTTAAGAATATCGAGAGATAAAAATGGTAAATGTTCATCGTATAATGATGATTGGTTTATCTATTGTTACAAAATGATACAAGTGAATAATTCAGATATCATATTACGGTTAGTGATGTCAGTGGTACTTAGCATTATATGTGATAGCAAATTAAAATGATGACAATATTATATAGATTTAAACTATGAAGAAACAAAAATGAAAATGTATTCATACTCAATGTCATCATTTTTAAAATGTAATTTTAGCTTAAGTCATTGTTTGTGTGATAATGGTAATTTGTAGGAAACGTCCATGACAGTTTTATTATCACTTGTCTTATTCATCTATTCTGATTTGAATGTGATTATCTTATGTCAATCAAAACCGACTCATGACACAAGGAAAGGATACATTGATTTATGAATTTTAGATTTCATTTTTTTTGTACTCTGTTGATAACAAGATATGGATGCAAAACAAGACTATCAGTTGACTGACACTTTCATAGAAATAATCAGTAAAAACAGAATACATTATTATAAATATCATGCTGTCAGTTAAATTTAAAAACTGTTTTATATAAATATCATTATGGAGTAAGTAAATTATTATGAAAAAATAAGGAACGTGTAAATTTTGATTGAAAAATAGATACAAGTAGGCGAAAATAAGTGAATCTAACCACAACGTCCGGGACATTAATGGTTAACCATAGTATCTAATAATTCTGTCAAAAGTATATTCATACTTCTCAGATTAATATCTAATCTATTGCAAAGATATAATAACAAAATAAGAATCTCAACTTCAAACTTATCTTATCTCATGAATAAGAAGACGGTATAAAATGATACAAGTTGGGTGACTTCTTGGGGTAAAATGTCAAAGAAAATTTATGAGTTTTATGATAAGATTAAAACTTTGACATATAAAAGAAAAAACTTTTAATAACGTTCACGGTGGGAGGGGGAGAGGTTCAATAGACCTGTTACTTTTAGTTACATCTCTGCCTTTTCTGAAAGGTTTTTTTATGAAAATCGAGAGATAAAAATATGTCGGTAAATGGATAAATATGATTTATTTATTGTTCAAAAGTGTCAGAACTATAGCAGGGTATAAAGCTAGTTATGTTCAAAAAAAGTGTGTCAAAAGTAACAAAACTCTTAAGAAATATCATACTTGAAATAAGATTTATGATAATCACACGCACATCATAAAACCTAAATCAATCAAATCAATGAAAATGTGAACACTTTTATTCTTATACAGTAATATAAAACAAATTTATTAAATGCTTGCATTTCGTTTGTTACGACACAATTTTCTTTAAAAAAATTAAATCTCTGAAGTTCCTAGTGCATGTTTTATTTAAAAAAGGATTACTTAATAGTAACGAATTACCTGATAGATATCGAGTCATTATATGAAGCCGGGTTATCAGCTTTTGTAAATGTCGGCAAGCTTCCATCCATAATCCATAACCGGTAACTAAGCAACAGCACAGTCTTAAAATCGTACATGATATGTCAAATATTTGCAATAAGAAATTATACTAAATAAAGACATCGGAATAACTGTATTTAAAAACATATCATTATAAAACACAGTGTCAAATAATATAATGAAAATTGAATGTGACTTTAAATATAATATGATTTTAAACAAAATTATGTAAATCTTTTATAGATGTTAAAGTTGGCCGAAATAATTTGCCTAAATGCGGTAGCTATTAATTGCAAAACAGACGTTAAAATTTTCTTGGAATAACTTACTTTAGTCTTCAGTCTTTAGTCTATATATTATTTTTATTAACACATTGTAAAAAAATGCTTATCTGCGAAGAAACAAGTGTCAACAAAACTTACAAAAACTATGGTAAGAACAAGCCTTGCAAGAAAATTTGAAAAGAGTTTGTCTGTCCATTCTTTCCTGTAAAATGAATTAAGAAAATGTTGTAACACATAGACCAATTGTTATACGTTTCATAATATGAATTACACTCACAAGGAAAATACGTTACAAAGAATATAATTGTATTTGTTTTCAAGTTATCGTTACTATAAAATTTATCATCTTACAGCGAACAAAAAGTAGAATATAATTGTTATTTATAGTGAAAAAAAGAATAATTAATCTACAAATTGCAATTGAATAATTTAGATATAAAACACAACTATATACTGTCAGTTATACCATATTCTCATAAAAATAAGCGGTAAAATAAAAAGCGATGGACTTTTTATATTTTAGAATAAACCAAGTTTGGAAAATATTTACTCTGAAAATAAGATATCTTTATATTGTACCTGAGAGAGTTCAGGGTTCTAATAGAATCATATATAATACAGACACCAAGCACAGTAACTCCCGTTTCCTTGCTTAACATAGCTGCTGCCGCACACATCAGGCTGGACAAGTACAGCAGTGTTCCATATTTATTATTAGTACTGGTTGTACACCTTCAAAATTCAAATATGACAATATAAGATAACAATATAACAATTACATCAGTATTGCTCTTACAATTGTGATATATATTATTCTTAAATAACAGTGAATTAAAGCTAAATATTCAAATACTACGTCACCTGTCTCTTTACAAGTCTTAATATACACGTATTGTAAAGGACAAACGGCGTCGGTTTTCAGTTGTGTTCAATATTATATATTCAATTGAATAACTTTAATTGGTTAATAGATGATAATTCTAGTTACGGACAAATTTGAATTAAGTTAATTTGACTGACTTAAAACCGGACACCGATTTTGCTTTTTAAATATGCATTTATGATCAAAGCCAGGTTTTGTTACTTACTTAGAAAAAGTTATAAATGACAAAAGGAAGAATGTAGCGGCTAGAACGTCTGCTCTTCCCACAATGCCGCTTACCTGGAAACACAGCAGAAGATAATTTCTATGAGTTTAATTGGAGTATGTATAATGTGCAGGGGTAAAATAATTATTTATGTTTTCTACTTTAATATTTAATATTGGCATAACAATTAACCACATCTTTTTTTCTATTTTCCAGATCAAATTTGTGTGTAAACTTCAAAGTACAAGATAAATTCACGACTCCTTTCCCCGCCTCTTCACTGCTGCTTAATATCCAAACATCAACAACAAAATCAAATGAAACATTTCATAACAACCACATAAAATTTAAAACAAATTTTACGACCATTAAATTAAGCGAAAGGTGACAAAAGCGACGCATGTGCACGCTTACAGATAACTTCATTATTCTAATATCTTGTCAAGCTTACAAACACGCCTCTCATATCTAAATCATTCTAATCTGATATATTACACCTTTATTATAACTTTTTATCTTTATTTACAACCGAATTTAAATAAAAATAGCAATGTTGCAAAAAGAAACATTATTTACGATTCCACTCTTTCATAAACAATATGACGGTTTATGTCATGTGAGTGTCTAATTTTATTTACTTAGAAAATGATATACTGTATAAAATAGAATTTGAAAGAGTGCAACAGTCGTAAATATCTATGTAAAAAATAATAAAGTCGCACAAGAGTCCTACTAAATTTTCGTCACTATTATTTGATGTTATTCTTTAATTCAAGATTACTCATACAGTTGTTTCATATTAAAATATTCAAATATTAAAAAGATTTTTGATACTGTATGATATTGACAATTGTCAGCCCACCCGAATTTCTCTCAGCAATTTTTGTATAAAATTGTCATATGAAGGATGCTAGCTGTAATTACGAATAAGATTTAGTGTATTTAGTCATTACTATATAAGCCGCGTCACGACAAAACTAACATTATGCGTTTGCGACCAGCATGGATCCGGACCAGCCTGCGCATCCGCGCATTCTGATCAGGATCCATGCTGTTAGCTTACAAACCCTATAGCAGAGACATAGATAACAGAGATAAGCAACTTCCTAACCAGTTAAAATATCACGCGTGCCTGCTAAACTTAAAACTTGTAGCAAGTAAAACCAGAAATCAAAATCAGGAAAATAATACATTTTCTGAAAGCTTATGCATTTGTCTATGGCTGCAGGTAAAAATATTTACAGTTCCTATTAAAATAAATGCTACATCATTTTTTTTTAAAGAGAACTACTTATTAATTTTTGTTACAAAACTATTCATATGATGAAAATAATTGGCTCAGTGGGTATGTTCTGCTATGTTTTTCTAAGTGAAAGGCATGGGAAGTTACCAATATTTTAACATGCAGCTTTAGATAAAAGATTTACCTTTTAAATGGTATATAATATTAAATGACCAAATGTACATCCAATAAGTTTTATTTGCTACAAAATGCCTAATTTTTCACTTTTTAATAGGCACGAGTGATAGTTCAATGGAGTATATAGGAGCTGCTTATCTCTGTTATCTATGTCTCTGCCTATAGCAAGTAGAGAAACTGATAGCGAACAGCATGGATCCTGATCAGACTGCGCGGATGCGCAGGCTGGTCTGGATTCATGCTGGTCGCAAACGCACTATGTTGGTTTTGTCGTGACGCGGCTCATATATTCTCCTCTCGCAGGCTTTTTTTAGTTTAAACATATTTTATTCCTTTCAATTTTTACAATATGTACAATGCAAATATATAGAAAGAAACATTTATAAATACATTTTGAAAGAAAAAGGGTTGGACCACAAGTTCAAATAACATTAGTAAATCGGTCCGTCCCTAGCTTTTTTTCTGAGTGTCTGTAAATGTGTGGAACTTAAATCTTAGCAATAACGTTTTCATCTTTAAGCTTAGACATACATCATACTTGGACTAGAATATACATTTGAATACACCCTTCATTTTTATCATAAATGTATTGAAACATAACCTTGACTCCTTCACACCGTCTATTTGTGCGACATTATGGCCCACAGATGGATGCATAAATCATTTTTATATAAAAATAATCTTTACAAAAATAATGATATTATCTAACTTTGCGGTGACCTCCAATTCTTCTAACGGAAAAATATTGTACATTAAATGTAGTTAAATATACAATGTGTGTAACTGTTGATTTGCATTACAAAAAGTTTACCATCTGTGAAGTTACCTGAATAATAAATTACGCATCAATCAGACAAAGTTTTTCAAGACTTGTTGCTCTTGCTTTCTATAAAGTTTTGAGCTTTCACTATCACGAAACCATTTTAAAAACATCAACTGAAGTGTATAATGAAATATTAGAGTTTGTTGTCAAACATCAGAATAAAAGTATATTGAAATCGTGTATAATCTATTCACTAAGTCAGCGGGCTACCGCATCAACATGCAAATCTTAATCCCCTTATTCATAGGGTGTACTGAAACTCGAATAAAAAAAGCTATAATCATGCTGGTAGCTCGGCTTCTTGACTTATCACACCCAATCTCCCTATTGATGTTTAAATGTACATGAGTTATAATATTGAAAAATATATATCTTGACGTAGTTCAAAACTAGGGTCTCTTTCAGTTAAAATTTACATTTTCGTTACTTCTAACACAAAACACGTATGATTTTTCTTCACGCATCTTTAATATAATGAATATAAAGAGAGTTACAATTTATTCCACTCACAATGCATTTATAAACTAAATTAATTTCAACGATGTAAGATAGACTATCTTGCTTGCTTTAAACACTAAACAGATAAACATCTATAAAGCTATACAAATATATATCTATTATTATTATTTCTATCTTTTCACATGCTATCAGTACAATCTGTATGGTTAATATGTTTTCATTTGATCGCATGATAACGTTCACCAATATACGGATGAGTACAAAACTGACCCCCCTTATATATTTTATATGTCTTAAAGAAAAAAGCCTTTTTATAATACGTATTTTTAAAAATTGACAGTAGTTTATATGATATATAAAACAGATCTTAATGAGTTTTATCTGTTTTATTCACCATAAATCACAAATATGCAAAGTTTCTTCGATGATAGTTGGAAATTTAAGAGAACAGAATGTTCTTCTTAACATACAGTAGATGTGCTTTTTAGCCTTTATCATATGAACCTCGTGAAAAAAAGATGTGTTAAATTATAATTTGAATTAGATTTACTTAGTGTAAAAAGTCGCTTCTATTATAATAATATTTAATGATCCTTTTCTAGTTTTGATCTATAAACCATGTAAATAAAAATGACTGATAAACAGAAAATCACAAATCATTAAGTATCCATTTTTATTGCTGTTTTTCATAAATAAAAATATTTAAGGTATTACCATCCTAATGCCTTACCTCCGCTTTGAAGAGTATTCAAAAGGCTAGAACTACTGTTAACTACATTGAAACTGAGGGCCATGGGTTCAAACCTCAGATGGGTCAACTTTTTTTTTCTTTTTTTTTTTCTTTTAACATTATTTATGTATCTCTCCATCCATTTTGGGTTGAAAAAAAGTGTTTATTTTATTATTATTTAATTTATATAGGTATTTATTGGCTAAATAATACCAAATCTAGTAATAAATACATGTATGATACCTGATATTTTCAAAGTGTAATAAAATCAAATCTAGACGGTTAAAGTATTTAATATTTTACAAGATCAACCAATATACTTTTTTAAAAATTTAGGGAAACTTTGAAAACAGGCTCATTCGGGTAAATTTAAAAAAGATTAAATTAGGCTCCCTTAATAGTAGGAAAATGGTCAAACACGTGTTAAAAATTGGTGGGATAGGGTAACATTTTTATACATATTTTATAAATTTGAGTAGAAACCATAATATTGTTTATTTTGATTGTTAGCTAAATAGTACTTTTTGTTTCTTACCAAAAATTAATGGGAAAACGTTTTTCATTAGAGTGTTATTGCAGATTATTTAAAGGTTACTCATTTCTGAAAAAGGGTCAAGTTTGTTTAAATTTTGCATACATGTGTACTTTAAGGTATATACTCGTATCTGACCTATGGTATAATTTTTCCAGTTCCTTATAGTGCCCGTTATAACTTAATTAGAATAATGCATTACTAAATTATAGTAAATATAATTGCTAGATAATTCAAAAGCAATTATAAAATAATAATATTTAACTGCTCTTTTTTTTTGTTCTAATATGAAATATGCTTATATTGAAAAGGAATTTTCACTGCTCTAACAAGCAAAAAAGTTATTAGTTATGTACATTTTATCTTAGGTTCATTTACACCAACTTCGATATTTATTCTTAAACTACCTTGTGCAACACATATTTTTTTTCAAACATACATCTAAGGTAAAAACTCGGGTACAGAATATATCTGTAGAACAAATAATGCCCCCAAAACACACTTTTTTTAAAAATAAACAAAAGCGGTTTATCCCAAAGAAATGTCTGCTGACCAAAGTAGAATTTCGATTAAAAGAATAAAAAACATATTTCTTATAAATAAAAGTAAGGTCTAAAGAAAGCCTTAAGTTTAAAATACGTATCTTTAACAGTATAGGTGGCAAAGAAGAGAAAACATCAATCAATGAACTACTCGTATATAAATAACTTTAAAAAAACCCATTACGAACTATGTTGTAATCATGTATCGTCTTATTTTAAACAAGCATATAAATTATAAGGGGAGGGGGAGGGGGTCAATATACTTTTCCGTACCAATAAACCACTTTTAGTAATATTTACAAAATGTTTGAATATTTATTTAAAGGATTGAAAGCTTCTTCCTATGTCTGCCTGCTCAACACAATCTTTTAAGAGTAATGGTTAATATATTAGTTTGTAGCTATATTTGATATTCATTGACAATCGTGTAATTGTTTAACATTCATTCATTTTGAAGGAGTACGACAGATAAATTATTTACATGTTTTGGTCTTTTCTTCGTCTAATGCTTTACTTATCTGCTATATTGTTTAGCAATCGCCGCCTCCAAATAGTTTAAGCATAATTATCAAATGTCAAAAAAGAGAAAAAATATATATTATATCAGTCTAAATAGTGCTCATTAATTCAATATAATTTTTTTTAACCGGCGCTAAAATAAGTCTACAATATATACAAAATAGAATATCTCGAAATTTTTGGCAACATATTAATCGGAATATGATACCAAATATTTTAATTAAATGGATACAAAATAAGTAAAACTATCTTGAAATAGTGTCAATTATTCCTGCTTGGCAATCGTACATAAGTTACTATTTCGATTGTTTGCTTTTGGTTTTAACGACAGACTTTAACAGTAAATTAAAAATACTTCAAATTAATTGTCATAAGATGTAAAGGAATAATCTTCAATGTCTTTTGTGAATTGTCCTTAAGTGGCTAAAACACCACAAGTATGTTTATTATGTTCGACTTTGATGATCAAAACTAACCAGAGAAGGCTTAGATAAATGAGCCGTGTCACGACAAAACCAACATAATGGGCTTGCGACCAGCATGGATCCAGACCAGCGGATGCGCAGGCTTGTCTGGATCCATGCTGGTCGCAAACCCATTATGTTAGTTTTGTCATGGCGCGGCTCAAATAAACATTGGGTAAACAATTAACTGCTTCTATTGATATAGTTTGTAATCAAATGATTTGATTTTTGCTCCTATTAGCTGAATTGCAAATTCAAATATATTTAAAAAGGCTACAGATTTTTAAAAAATAAAATTCGACCATGGAACATTTAAAATAGCGAATATTTTTACAACTTTATATCTTGCCTCGTGTATGACCGTCCGGTTAATTCACACTGAGCTTTAATACAGGGGATATTTTGCTTAACTTGATAAAATCTTAAAAGGTATCTTATAAATCGACATGTTAAGGTGAAAACTAAATTACTTTTATTGTTGTCTGTCTTCTATAGTTTGAATTATCTTAGTAACGTAAAATATAACATATGTTTGTCAAAAGTTGTTTTTGATGTTTAAGTGAAAATAATTTAGATAATAGTTTAATAGGGACAATATAAAAATGTACTTCAAAATTCATCGTTTTCATAACCAAAAGCGCAGTTACATCCTATAATTCAAGCTTACACAATAAGAACTAAAGTATATATTTTTCATAAGAATTCATGATTTTTTGTACGTGATATACATATATTTAGAAATAGTAATGCGCATGAATAGTTGTGGGAATTATATAAATACTGCAGACGTCTGCGTCAAAAAAAAAAAAAAACACACATTTTATAAATTAATCTCTTTCAGAGGGTAATACACTTTTTTACTTTAATTCAATCTACGTTTATACAAACATTGAAAACAATTGCCCATTTGGTAAAATGGTCCTAAATAATTGAAATTATTATTAAGCATTTCTCTTCATAAATGTTAGATTGAAGATAGGATAGGTATAATTCCAAAACCAAATGTTTGTCATTTCTGAAAAATATATCCATCTTTTGAAAATAGATAAAAATATACTTTGCTTTTACACAAGTTAGAGTGAAATATGACCGACATTGTGCAATAATACAATGCGTAAAGACATACAGTTACAATGTCCATTGATTGAATACCATTTTCAGAACTTAACATAATGAGAATTGTTAGCCAAAAGGTCCATATATTTTTTAATATATCTGATAAAAGTGTGGTCTTAGCTAGGGGAATAAAATTAATTATGGCACTATATGCTCGAACAAAATATTTACCGTTATTTGTTTTGAATGGGACATTAAAAAAAGTTACAGCTAGAAAAAAACGATGCATTTGCAAGTCAAAAATTCAAGCAAATAACTCACCTATTTGACGACTTACAAAGAACGTATGCACACTCAACTTTGAGGGTGTGTGGATATAAATATGTATTTTAGAAAACTGAACAAATAAAGGTGCAGTGACAGAACTTCAAAGTGTCCTGGCAGAAAATAAAGTGCATTAGCCTGTATAGTGAAGTGAAATGACGTCTAATGTTATTCGATACGATTTAATTATATTTATATCTGTTTAAGATTAAAGATTTAATATTGAACATAAATATTTATACGCCATGCTCGTTGTGTCACCAAACGCTTCATATTATTGTATGTTTTTCATTACATTGGTGTTTACAAGTGTAATTACTTGTCTGCAATGTAGATGATAAATTTTATATATATTTATGTTCTATCTATATTGCATTATGAAAGATGTGTAAATATTGACGTGAAGAATATCAGTATTATAATGATTATGAAATTAAACGGCTCACCGCCTCTGTGTGTATGGGATGCACGGCGAACAAACTACCAGCTAAAACAGCATCTCTTGTTCGTTGTCCAAGAATATTTTTGCATGTGTACACAAACAACGTCGTCACTATCACGTGCAACGTGACGTTTATCACGTGATAAAAGAATGGGTCAAGACCGGCTAAAATGTAGTTTAGTCTGAAATTAAAATTTTAAATATTATTAAAATAGATTATTGTTAAAGTATATCAAGGAAAGGTAATGTTCTTAGAAGGATAAAACCAGCATAACATAGTTTACCCCTGGCAACATGCTTAAGTTGCATTTGATAGTCTGAACTTAGTATTTATTTCCTATATATAATCAACACTATATGTTGTTCTCAAATTTGTTAAATTTCAAATTGTGCAGTTTGATCATTAAATATGTTACAATTATTGGACACATTGACTTCCTGGTATTTAATATATTAAATGAAGCAGTAAAGAAGGGTAAACATTATAATTATGAGGTGAAAATCAAACGCTTGAAGGAACACTTTACACGATTTTTTTTTAACAATTCAGTACTCATAACCATAAGTCGACAATAAACAACAACCGTCTTGAAGTCGATAATCATATATTTCAATGTTAATAATTTAAGTAACTTGTTGGGGAAAATTCTAAGATCATATATCAGTGAATATCGTAAACTTGGTTCAATTGGAGGCAACGGTATCTACAATATTTGTAATTTCCTTATCACCGGGTAAAGTAGGGCTGAACATTGGGAAAGGAGTAAATTATATAAAAGTTTTCATGTATTTAATTATTATACAGTGACAATTTCTTATTTTTTGTGCCGGGTCCGCACCACTCTGAAATAAATGGGAAAGTGTATGCGTGGAACACGAGAGATGAATAATATGGTATCGGTTGTATAAACAGACGAAAGAATAAACTACTAAAATAATAACAAAACTCTACGTGTTTATTAATCAATCTTACATATAAGCCGTCATAAACAAACATGCAACTAACAGTCTCAATCTATCAAACTTTTAGCAAAATGTCCCCAAAGTAAATGACCAAACAACTTATTTTTTAACTTAACTGTCTTACAAAGTCATTTTTTGACAAAATGACTTGAAATAACATTATAAATACGCTTCAACATGTCCTGCAAAACATTCAACTTCATTAAGTTATTTTGACAAGGCACGAATGTATTTAATATTTGTAAGCTACGTTAATATGCACAACGGTCAAATTTTGAATTATACGTAAGACATGTGTCTATCAAATTATACTTGACTTAAGCCAGAACTTAATCCTTTTAAGATAACCTTTTTAATGACTACTGAAAATAGGATTAAACAGGATTTTAAATGGGTTAATTTAGATCTGTTATTATAAATACATTTTTGACAAAAAATGAAGACAAAAACTAAATATAATCCAAGATGAATGTATCAAATTATATGAGCCGCGTCACGACAAAACCAACATAGTGTGTTTGCGACCAGCATGGATCCAGACCAGCCTGCGCATCCGCGCAGTCTGATCAGGAATTATGCTGTTCGCTTACCAACTCTATTACAAGTAGAGAAACTGATAGCGAACAGCATGGATCCTGATCAGACTGTGCGGATGCGCAGGCTGGTCTGGATCCATGCTGGTCGCAAAACCATTATGTTGGTTTTGTCATGACGCGGCTCAATTAATAAGGATGCAAATTTAATATATCTATCTTCAGGTGATGATATAATCTGATCTAGATTTTAGTGAAAAAAATAGATAGTTAATGGTTGTAATTATTTATCGTGAGACATCATCGAAATCTTAATTATAAACTGATGGGTTATGACAGATTTTTATGCGCAAAATGTAATGATGCAAATTTACATGCTCGTGACTTCAAATAGAAGTTATAATGATAGCGCAGTCTATATTTGCATAAATGATAAATGTCGTAAAGCACACTTATTTCTAACTGTTAATAACATGCAGCAAGATCACTTAGATTGATGTATCGTATAGATTTATCTATCCTACAAATTACTCAATTATAATATAAAAATGCACGATTGCTGAACTCTCGCAAAGTAATACAGGTTTAGAAGTCAATCGAATATCCATGTTAGCTTTAGAGTGACATTTTTCCACATTGATTCGCAATGTTTTCATCTTATAGATTTCAGTAGTGACAGCTTATTGCAATAATTAATTCTTTCGACCGTATGAAAACAGGAAAAGAAAACATACAGAATTGATTGCAAAGATTGAAATTATTCTGTAATTTGCAAAGACAAAAATCACTTACCTAAAGGTGAACACAGTTAGAGGTCTATAAGATTTATGACTCGTCGTGCTAGATATAGATTTACCCCAGAAATCATTCTTCAATAGATTCCAGAGCTCCGTTTTCCCGTGCACGTCTGGGTTCTTTTTAATAGCAAAAATATCATCGTGCACAAAATCTCCGTTAAGTCCGTTTATATAACAAATAAATGCCAATGCTGCGGGGATTAAATACTTCAAAATTATTTCAATGTTCAAATTATCTTTTATAACTACTTTCTCCTTTTGAAGAGTTCCTAAATTTCTATTAAACTTCAAATAGTTATTATTTTCCGACTTTTTCATCTTTAATGTTTAACTGAAAAATTGTCGTCTGCAACTGGTAGATTAATTCATACTGGGAAGTCAACTGCTATCAAACTTGATTTTACGATTAGAGTTAAGAATAACGATAGTTTACATTATACCGGATTACTCATATCTCACTCAACGAATACTAATGTAGATGAATTTTAAGTGTGTCTGTTTTAATTTGAATTTACCTTATATTTTTAAGTCCTGGGTACATAAATGCATTATAGGAACACATTTCTGTTAGTTTTATTACAGTCAATGTGGTACTTTATCATCAAGATGTTGACATAAAGCAAAATGTAATACGTGACATTCAAGTTAAAATCTTGAAATTTTAGAAAATTCTTAAGGATAGCATATTTATTGTGTTTTAATGTTGTTAAATAGAGATCGGACGGGTAAGATATTCCCAATTGCATCGACTTGTTCTATGTAACACTCTCATGTGAATTTAAGATGCAGTGTTTAAGCTATCAAGCAATAAAGTTGATTTACAAAATACAAAGAGTGAAGATTTATAGTAAACTAATATATAAAACCAAATATTATGAGTGTATGAGTGTGAAATTGAACGGAATTTCAGCTTAAACTATAGAATCAATCAATTTTATATCATACAGTTACTTTTTGATATGACAAAATGCAAAATAACGAATTCACCTTTTTAATATATATATATTTAGTGCGTTTTCTGTACACCAGGATAATAATGTAACCGTTCTGTACACACTTGGTATTTCAAAGGTCTTAAAGACCGAAGATAAGCATTGACTATAAATCGTATACATAACTAGCATTGCATTGAGGGAAATTTTAAACTGTTTGCTCCAGTAATATAATAATCCAGAATTCAGATATATGCAATTGCTAAAAAAAAGTTCAATCTATCGGCAGTAAAAGCGATTAGAATATTAAAATAGCAGAACTTAGAAGCTAGCTGTCTTGCTCTGATTCGATAACATACGCTTGTATTGTCGCCTATAACACTCAATAGGGCTAATAGACTGTATTGTCACATACAGGATTATTTATTAAAGTTTAATACGGACGTACTAAGGCCTTTGTCGTGTAATGATGAGTAAAATGAGATTGCTTATTAATAATGTAGTTAAATGTCTCTATAACAAAACAACTTAACAGAAACACATTGGAACCTCTAAAGCATTAGATCATGCGTATTCCGTACTTAATGACATTATTATAGATACCTAATTATTGCTAAGACTTATTTATTTAGGTGGCATAGAGAGGATATAGGAAATCTTCAATCTACATTCGTGCGCGATAGCTATTACGTGGTGGCTATTGCGTGGCCAAGTGATAGATACTAGTATATACGTGTACACGCGATATCTGTTACGTCTACACACGAGAGTAATACGTGGTGTAAAAGCCATTAATTACGTGGCGACGCGAAAAGTTTTACGTAATAATAATAATAAAGATAAAAAAATAATCATTTTTAACTGATTCAAAATTATATGCATAATAAAGACGAGAAATTGTTAGTTGGTATTGTGTGTACATGTATACGTAAAGCAGAACATTGCATTTACCACTACCGTCCATACAGCCCTTACAGCCCACGACCATGCTCAATCTAACTGAATCATTTTAAATTTTGCCATGTTATGCGTTTCCTAAGAATTATTTTTTTATCATGATATTAAAGCATCAACGAGTTTATTTGAAGAAAAACAACAACAACAATATATAATTATATATATAAAAACACTCGAACTACATGTGTATATCATTTCTATATACATGTACAATGTGACACTTGCCATTTTCCCGGGCACTCTTTATACAAGTATTTTAAATCAGAAACCGAGAGGGATCAAATCGAGTGTAGGACTTGCAAAATGTTATTACAAGTACGGTATCGTATTGTTATAAATAGTCTTTTTGGAAAGTCTATATTTCAGTAGAATTATATTCATGTTACATGCACAATGCATGCATATTATATTCCTGATTTCGACAACCGCTCACATATTATTTTTCAAATAAAAGAGATTTTGCCATTAAATAACTCATTTCTCTCATTAGAAAGACGTTTCATATCCATAACCGATGCCTGTCAGTTATGTATGAAAGATAAAAAACGAAAGTAGACACGAGAGAGAGAAAAAAAACAACAACAAAAAACCCGGACCTTAAAATGACTCTTATACCCCAGAAAAAAAACACACATAAAGAAGCAAACAAACGCACAAAGAAGCAAACAAACGAACTAGCAGAAAGAAGAAAAATTATGTGTTTGAGAAAGTATTAATCTGGAATGTTGCTTAAGTTGATTTCATTTAGGAAATAGATAGTCTATCAATTCAAGGCGTTGCAATTAAGACGCGTCAATGAGCGAGGTGTCCCGGGTGCCTTACTGAAACTCATTGTGTCTGCTTTTGAAGCCAGTTGAGCTTTACTACACCAGACTCCCCAGTTTATATTAAAAATGCAGGTTTTTAAATAACCAGTATAATCTGCTTTACGGATATATAACGGGTAGCAGGTCACGGTATGAAACGGCATTTATCATGTGACAACAACAACAACAAAAATGGCAGCGTCCATGTCGGTTGCTATCGCCGCAGCCAACGGAGATTTGAGGGTAAATTAAGTCACCCTTAGTTAAACTTTTGTCTTTTCTTTGTAAATATTCAAAAGTACTGCTCAATTTATTTCTGAGCAACAAAGAATATGTGAGGCAAAAGTCTGTCTTACAAAATTCGGTTCATCGCACCTGTTGTTAGCTTGCCAATGTGTCGGCCCAGAATATTTTCGACCACAATTGTATGCTAAATATTTTATGTAGGCTATATCAAGCTAAATTAAGAAAGCAACCAATGCAATATTTTTCAGTTTAAATTGTAAATGAGAGAAGATTGATCAAATCATCCTTTTTATCCCCAGTTTTAATTATCAAATGACAATTTTACTCTATTTTTTTGTGTGCAGACTGACTCTAGTCAGTGTGTGAGATTTGGCATCACTGTTCATAGTGGTACATGGTATTGACATGTCGCTGTGGAGATGGACGTGTATTAGATTCTGGCCTGTATTTGGTGATGACGTAGTAGCACAAGAGTTGCTAAAGCTCATGTCACATTGACCGCCACCATGACACCTTCATTGCTTCAAAAACGTCTACAACGAAGCCTGATTTTCAGTGTCAGAAACAGGTAGAAGTCAGAGGGGGCCAAGTCCGGAGAATATGGTGGATGGGAAAGAATTACAAAGCCGCAGTCAGTTGTAGCAGCCATCACAACTTGGAATGTGTGAGCTGGCACATTGTCGTACAGGAGCAGAACGCCTTGAGTCAGTTTGCCCCTCCTTTTACGCGTGATTTCTTGATGCAGATGTCTCAATTTATCTGCATAGTACATACTGTTTATGGTACAACCTTGCTCAAGATAGTCATTCATGATTTTCCCTTGACTATCCCAGAAAATTGAAGCCATCATCTTCCTTGCTGATGTCACCCTGTTGAATTTCTACAGAGGGTGTGAGCCAGGTAGCTTCCACTGCATTTGTGTTTTTATGCCACCGCAGCATCTGCGATGCGGTGGCATATAGCGATTCACCTGTGTGTGTGTGTGTTTGTGTGTGTGTTTGTGTGTGTGTTATATAGATTATATAGTGAACTTAAAAAATCTTCTTGTGAAAAACCACTAGTCCAATTTCAACTAAACTTGGCAGGATTGTTCCTTGGGTGAAGGGCTTCCAAAGTTGTTCAAAGAATTTCATTCCATGCAGAAATCTGGTTGCCATGGCAACCAAAAGGAATTATAAGAATAAATTAAAAAAATCTTCTTGTAAAGACCCAAAAGGGCTAGAGCTTAGATATTTTGCATAAGGCATTGTCTGGTAGACCTCTAACAAGATTGTTCAAATTATAGCCCTGGGGTAAAAATTGGCCCCGCCCCGGGGGTCATTGATTTTCACTATGTACATATAGTAAAAACTTAAAATACCTTCTTGTAAAAACCCAAAAGGCCTAGAGCTTAGATATTTTGCATAAGGCATCGTCTGGAAGACCCTTACCAAGATTGTTCAAATTTTAGCCCTTGGGTCAAAATCGGCCCTGCCCTGGGGTCATTGATTTTCACCATATGTACATATAGTAAAAACTTAAAACAGCTTCTTGTAAAGACCCACCCAAAAGGCCTAGAGCTAAGATATTTTGCATAAGGCATTGTCTGGTAGATCTCTACCCAGATTGTTCAAATTATAGCCCTGGGGGTAAAAATCGGCCCCGCCCCAGGGGTTTTTGGTTTTCCTTATATGTTTTTGTAAAAATTTATAGTAAAAACTTCAAAAAAAATTCTTCTAGCAATTGACAAATGCTAGAGGTTAGATATTTTGCATGAAACATTGTGTAGTAAACCTCTAGCAAGATTGTTCAAATTATAGCCCTGGGGTCAAAATTGCTCCCGCCCTGGGGGTCATTGATTTCAATATATACATAATTATAGTAAAAAATCTTATTGTCTGAAGGTACAAGGCTTAGAGCTTAAATATTTGTTAAATAATATCATCTAAAGGTACTCTACAAAAGTTATTCAAATTATGCCTCTTGTGTCAAAATTAGCCCCGCCCCTGGGGGCCATAGGTTTTCCTTATATGTATATAGTAAAAACTTAAAAAATCATCTTCTCTAAATTTACAAAGGCTAGAGTTAAGATATTTTGCATGAAACATTGTGTAGTGAACCTCCTGCAAGATTGTTCAAATTATAGCTCTGGGGTCAAATTGGTTCCGCCCCGGGGGTCATTGATGTTCATTATGTACATATAGTGAAAAAATAAAAAAATATTTTTGTCTGAAGGTACAAGGCATAGAGCTTTGATGTTTGATATATAGTATCATTTATAGGTCCTCTACCAAAGTTGTTTAAATTTTTCCCCTGGTGTCAAAATTGGCCCTGCCCTGGGGCAGTGATTCTCATTATGTACACATAGTAAAAACAGAAAATAAAACAAATGTTTTGTGAATGGGAGAAAGCTATAGCTTAGATATTTGACTTGAAATGTTGTTTTGTGGACCTGTATCAAGATTGTTTGAATTAAAACGTTGGGTCAAAATTATGCCTTGCCCAAGGGGACAGTGACCTACTTTCTTGTCCTTTGATGTACAGCAATGACATTTTGACCATGTGCACAGTTTTAGTTGTAAAATTGAACTTTGATATCAGGTGACCTAGATTTTGAGGATGTGACCTACTTTCTTGTCCTTTGATGTACAGCTATAAGATTAGAACCATGCGGTGGCATAGCATTTTTCTCAAATGCAATCTTGTTTTGATTCTGGATCAAAGATATGGACCTATGTTTCATCCTGCGTTACAATCCGGTAGATAAAATCATGTTCATCTTCATAGCGAGACAAATGTTATCTTGAAATGTCAAGTCTGGTCCGTTTCTGGTCATCAGTCAACTGTCTGGGGACCCATCTAGGGAAAACCTTTAACATGCCATAGACATCAGTCAGAATTGCCTGAACTAGGGAAGTGGGTATAAGGTTTGGTTCAGTTCAGGCAATTGCAAAATCCTTCTGCATTCTGACCCACTGGAATAATTCGAATTTTTCTATGAGGTTTAGTTTTTCATTTGTTTTGAGCAAAGAGTAGAGCACTTGTCCTTGGACATCTCTGTTTTTCTTGAAATAAAATGTAATTTATGAATACTAATTAAGACTAAATATAATCTTTATTTCATTAACAGGCAATTGAGAATTTGATCAGCCAAGGACGAGATGTAAATGAAAGATCTAAAGATGGAATGACTCCACTGGGCATTGCAGCATTTTGGGGCTATGCTGATATTGTTGAACTTCTTCTAAATCATGGGTAACTGTCATTACATTTTATAGCTAAAGAAACAACCAGGAAGACATACATTTAATATGTACAATAATTTCAATTTTATGTTTATGACAATCTTTATTTTTGTTTCAAATGTGGTTATTGTAAGATTATACTATTAACTTACAACACTTTTGCAGATCAAAATAAATTCTAATTTAGTAAAATTGGGTATAGCTCATACATGTAGCTTATTTGTTCTCTTTGTGAAAATAACTTGTACTGGTGTCATTAATAAGGGTTAATGAATATTGTATATAAATATCTTTTAGTGCAGATATCAATTTAGCAAACAAGGGAACACTTTGGACTCCAATTCACTCAGCAGCATTTCAAGGTCACGGGAAGGTGATAATGAAATTGATGGAACATGATCCAGATCTCACTTTAAAGGACAATCAAGGAAGGTAACTGTAAATGATACTAAACTACACATGTTTACTTCCCTTAGTCATTTGCAGTGAGCTTTATGCACAAATGCTCCATTTGCAAATAGTTGCAAGGTAAGATACAAACTGTATGATTACTTTTACACCATGTAATTTAATTTTACAAAGCCAGTGGTGAAAGTAAATGTTGAGAACATCTTATCACACAAAAGAAAAACAAGGTTACATAAGAAATGTAACATTGATACTTTTCAGTTAAATGAAACAAATCCATTTTCAGCTGAACCAACAAGATCAAAGGCGCTTTAGTTTACTGATATAAAGTCTTTTTGTTTTACACAATTTTTGTTTATCACTTGCATAGTTAAAATATCATATAATTTAGTTTATTAAATATTATGAAAACTGAATTTTGGGTAAACTGTTCTAAAAACCTTTTAGATATTCAAATGTAGTCTGTATAAAATACATTATGTAGCTGTTTATTTTCTATCCAGTGTAGATCTTTAGTTATATTGTAAGAAAGCTATAAAATATTCCAACATTTGTTATGCATGTATATTCTATTTGTATTGTGAAACAACCCATATTTAAACACTTCTTTCTTATTTTGTAAAAAATATTTTTGTTGTTTTGGCAATCTCAAGTAGAAATCTAAAAAAAAGTAAATTATATTTAATATTGATTACATGATATCATTAACTATTGTATTGATAAAAGTATATACATGTACCTGATTACAGGACAGCTACAGACTTTGCCTCAGCTATGGATGCAATATGGCCATTCTTTGCTGCTAAAGGTTGTAGAAGAACCATTAAATCACAGCTTATTGACATGGATATTGTCAAAAAGGTGAGTTCCTTGGTTCATCTGACAAAAATGTCAGTTCAGTCTAAAATGCAGTAAGCAAAAATGTATCTTTTCTTAACTTTGATTAAATTATAATAATGGATGATGGAAGGAAAGGAGATGAATGTTGCTTGCATAGAATTTCTTGTTAATGTATGTTTGAATTTATGTAATTTATTAAAGATATTGAAATACTTGACTTGAGGAAACTGAATTACATATATTACCTTGGTGGTCAGTGGTTTTACTAAGATGCCTGTTAGTGTTTGAAATTATCCTCAGTGGAGCATCAAAGTTTCTCTTCAATCAGTTAAGCAGAGAAGTCCTCATTTCATTGTAGGCTACATGTTTCTTCCTCTAATATATTGCATTAAATAAACATTAAATTTTATTAAATAAACTTTCATAGTTTTACCTTTCTTGAACAGGTGACAACTCCAGATCCTACCATACCAAAATCAGAATATGCTCACTTCTCTAGGCCAGGTTCAGCTTATGTGATGAAACCACAGCAAATGAATTACTCTGACTCAAGGATGGTATGTTATAAATACAATTTATGTTTATGCTGCTACATATAGGTACTACTGATATGTTATTTATAAGGATTCTGCAATTCCCATACCCTTATGTATTTTTTTTTTTTTTTTTCTGCTGGTTTTTTATGCTGATTTTACTACATGGTCATATCTTGGGGTTGATATACCTCATCAGTTCTCTTGGATAACTAACACCTTGGATAACAAACCAGTATTTACCAATTTCTCTGCAAGTGACCAATTACTAATCCCAAATGATACCTGCATCAGAGGGGAGAGAAAAATTCATACTAATCAGATGCTCTCCTTATTGAAAAAATCGGGCAGAATCCTTAAAATTTGGGGGGGGGAGGGGGGGTTAGATACATTGATTTATATGAAAGTATTGAAATTGTCATTGGGGAAAAACATTTTACTGATGTATTTCACATTTAAATATGATCTATAAATTAACTGTGCATCGAACAGCTGAAGTTTAAGGTAAAAGTTAAAACCCATGACCTCCATGGCTGAGCAGTTAAAGTCACTGAGTTTGAATCACTTCTGCTGTTAAGACCTGCAAGTTTGAATCTTGCCATAGGACTTAAAATTCTTTGGTTTATACATATTTATTTAAGCTTGATTGCTAAACAAGTTCTTGCAACTTATTTTAATCACTTTTGTGTCCGCTTCCTGATACCAACCAGTACTGGTGTCATATGAAGAAACATAGTTGTAACCTGGTTATGGCTCAAACATATGATCCTTGTGTTGAGAGGCAGATACCTTAACCACTTAAGCCACCACTTCACTTAAAATTCTTTCATTTGAGGAAGCTATCAAGTTAGGTATCAGATGGTTGGTGGTTCCACTCACAACTTCTTTCATCAATATGCATGTGAGGTATTCTTCCTCCAGTAAAGCTGGAATGTCACCATATCACCTTCACATTGTCGGTGAGATCAAACACATAGAAGTTAAATAAATAAACGACACCATTCATCTATGATGTTACTATTTGAATGATTTGCATATCTTTTAATCTTGGACACCTTAAATTAACCCCAAAAAAATCATAATCTGATTTATAAGTAAAGCAATTATATTATTAAATTTTTTGGTGATAAGGACTTAAAAATGAATCCATTTTAGATAAGGGTTATTCCATATCTCATAGCTTTATACATGAACAGAAGTTCAAATTCAAAGGTTATAATAATATAAAACAGTCTTGTTCCTCTTGTTATTTACAGAAAATCTGTGGTTCTACACGCCCTCCTGTTAAATCTTGGAAGTTGTCATATAACCTTCTATAGTGTTGCTTGAATTTGACACAACCAAAATAATGTTAAAGGCACATTGTTTTTTGAGAAGTAAAAATGAAAGCATTTCTTGGGGTATAATGGGTCTTTAATTAATATGGGACCTTTTTATGTTAGCTTTTGGTTTAAAACCTATCAGTTTGTCTTATTGAATTCTATTTTTGCATTATTTAGGCTGTTGCATCACAAACAGGTGACGTGTTAGCTGGTATAACAGAAGAAAATGAACAACAATATATGCCCATGTTTGGTAGTGTCTGGAACAACTGATATCTTATCAATCATGTGATGATCTTGTGCAATCTTCCATACATTCCATCATTATATAACATGGTAGTGGTAGTCACAGTTATAAACAGTGCTCTACATAGAGGGTATTGAATGAGTGTATGTTCAATACTGAATTTATTGAATGAGTTGAATAAAGTTATATTATGCGAGCCTTCGGCAAGCATATTATTTTACTCAATGAGTTCAATAAATTTAGTAATAAATTTATATGAATATAATATTCTATTTATCACATATCAAAAATAATGACCGTTTAAAGTGACGCGCCTATAGTATAATGCTAACATTTAGCGCGTCTTTACACTATGTTTGTATAACGCTTATGATGTCAGGTATATATGCACGGCCATGCAATACCATTTTTACGGAGGCGCAAAATTGGCACAGGTGTGTGATAAATTAGTTTATTTGTTACAGTTTATAGGAGGAGGAAAGTTACAATAACAAAATGTTGTGGTTATCTCAGGTTGTGTTTTTATTTTGAAGTTTGTCCATTTTATGATGTGTCTGTTGCTTCACAAGGTTATGGAAATAAGTATTAAGTCGTTTTCTTCAGTGATTTAATTATAATATTTATTTTTTGCATTAATTCACTGTAACATTCAACTTGATCAATTAATATAATTTTTGCATTAGTCACAGAGACTTTTCTTTTCAACTATGTCCTTGGTAATTTTTTTGTCAGGAGATTTGTGTAAACAAATTGGTACATACATTGTACATGTATATTTGTAAGATAGAAATGGTTAAAATAAGTTGAATTGTTATAACTTTTAAGTTTTAAACTTGGCCAAAATGTTGTTTTTTGTGACATAGTATTTTTACATTAAATGTTCTACACAGATTGCTTGCGATGTGATTAGATGCAACAGAAATTTGTATATCAAATACACATGTATTAATTAACATAGTTTTAGACATACTAGATTATTTTGTTATATATTCCTTCATGTTTGATGAGCCAAAAAAAGGCAATTTGGCCATAATTTAAACTCATATACATGTACTGTTGAATAATTCCATATTGCATGAAAGAGGCAATATGAAGACATAGGGTATAATATGATAACACAAATGTATTAGTTTGTTATTTATGATTTAAATTAATTCACTAAACCATGACTGTGTACTGCTGTATTATTCAAAATTTGTGATATACATTTACCAAAGCAGTTAATTTTTATATATATATTATGTTTATTGGTCTAAAAATTGAATGTATCAAGTTGATCTGTTTATAAAATTTGTTACTTGACCAAAACTTTGGCGCTTTAAACATTTTGTATTAAAAATTATGGAAGTAACTGATAATGATGGTTATTAAACATACAGCAGTCAGGAAAGAAAAAAATAATTCATGTTATTTTGAATTTCATTGCAGATTATTTTACTAAATTTTGACAAAATCAGACTAGGTTTTTTTTTAGATCAAAATTAAAGACTTGTTATTTCTTTTGGGAGGTTTTAGATCTGAGACACACTAATGAAATTTGTACAAATGTATTTTCATTAGTCATTAGTTAACATTTCTGTCTAGTCGTACATTGTTATAGTCTTAAGTTCATTCTAAGATTTGATATTGGTAAATATAGAATTCCAGCAACAAGTACATGTATTACTGATTTTATATTATTTATTTTATACAACAAATGTTTGACATTAAAGCAGCGAGCCTGCAAATTAATGCTAATTGTCATGCAAATTTTGAAAAATGTATTAAAAAGTAAAATATTGTGAACAATGAAAATAATTTTCAAATTGCAAACAGCTCTTACGACCCATGTAAATTACCAAAAGAGGTCAAAATATGCAAGGATAGTCCTTTAATGTGTAAGTAAAGTACATGTAGTATAAACATGGTTAAAAATACTGCAAACTCGGCCATAAGTAGCATGTGACACGAAAATTGTGATTTTTTAGAATCTTTTTACTTTCTTAAAAATTTCAGTACTTTTTTTCTCAAGTTTGATTTTCTTTAAATATATTGGCTCATCTGAAGGCATGCTGCTTTAACTATTGTAATAAAATATAGTTATGTTTTGAAAGCACTGTGTTACGTTTTGCTGGGCAACATGACTGCTGATATAAATTGGTTGTTTTTTTTATTATTTATAGTAACAAAAATGTCTCTATAACCACTAATGTATTGAAATGTATATGCAATGTATGTTGTTTTCATTCTTTGATACACTTTCTACATGTATAATAATATCACTTTTAGACTGTTGTGGTTTTGTGTGAATCTGTGATTAACTTCATACGGCTAGATGTGTTCAATTGTTTTATAATTAATGAATATATTTTACTGATTTTTAAATAAATTATTCAAAGATTAATTGTTTTGGTATTTCACTGCAAACAATTTTAGTAGAAGTTTGGCAGACTGTCATTGACTTTTCAAGTGATTGAGTAGATATTGTTTCAAGGGTATTGTTTTAAGCTTAACTGCGAAGAAAAAAAAAAGCTATTGCTACAGTCACATTGTGGTTGCCGTAGCTGTTGCCATTGCCATCACTCATCAAAAACCTTGTACTTTGGATTCATACACATGAGGAAGCTTTCCAGTTAGCTTACAAAACGATGTTGGTTCTTTTCAGGTGTCTATTTGTGCATGAAATAATGCATAGAGGGGGCACTTGAAATCCTCCTCCACCAGTAAAGCTAGAATGTGGCCATATGCCTTTTACAGTGTTGGTGCAACATAAAACCAAACTTTAACAAAAATTCTGCTGTGATTAATTTGAAACTGTTATAAACTAGAGCTGCCCACAGTAGTGACAAATACCCCCGACATAGGGTATTTTGTTTTGCAATTTATTATTACATTTGAATTAAGTGTGAAACAAGTCACTTGAAAAGTAAGAATGTCACTAGAAAAGTAAGAATTTATAGTGCAGACACAAAATGTTAAAATTTTTACCTTTAAGGGTGACCTGGATTTTGAGCCTGCACAGAGGCAGCATGGGTTTATCACATTGTCTTGTTAAGGTGAACATTTGAGCCAATTTAAGAGGAAAATGCCTCGAGAGTGGACACAAAATTGTCTGATATTTGACCTTCAAGGTGACAGATCTTAAACCTGCACAATGACAGCATGTGTTCTGCAAAGTACTTTGATGGGTATAAGATTTACAGAGCAGACATAAAAACTTTGACCTTGAGCCAACATAGCTATGTATGGGATGAACACATTGCCTCGTTAATGTGAATATTTGAGCCAAGTTAGAAGAAAATCCTTCAAGAGGTATAAGATGTATAAAGCGGGAACACATAATTGTCTAATATTGGCATTTGAACTTCAAGCTGGCCTTGACCTTGAGTCGGCACTGCAGTAGCATGGGTTCTGCATATCAGCTTGTAAACATGAACATTTGAGCTATGATATAGCATCACTAGTTGGCAATGAACAAGTATGCCAGGTTTGAAGTCAATAGCTTCAGTAGTGTCAGAGAAAATGGATTTTAACTTATTAAAATGGACCTTTTTGTTAGATATTACGCGTATTATTATTAGACGTACCAGACTTTGGCACTATTATGGTACATAGCATTTTACTGTGACATTGACGTCACTTTTGTTATGTTTTGTACATTAGAAATTAGAGTTGAAAATACAATCATTGAAATCAGACGTTCATATTCAGTTGTTAATGTCATCCCGACAACCTTATTACCTATTACAGGTCACAGTGGTGTTTACCTTTTGATCTTAAAATATTGTGGCAGGTAGAACTCATCAAGGTGCATCCACATATAAAGTTTCAATGTTTCACTTATGTTTGTATTGAAGTTAATGACCATTAAATAAAACTTAACCACCAAAGGGTTTACCAACAAACTTTAAAAATAAAAATCATTAAAAGGCTGTAACACCGGCAAAAATAATTGAACTGCAAAATGCTGCTGATACACACAACTAGACTTGGTACTGATCATTCCTGTAAAGTTTGGATGAAATTGTATCAGTAGCTTCTGTGGAGTTGAGTCCGTACATTTTCTATGACGGATGGACAGACAGACAGATGACGGAAAAGTGATCCCTGTATGTCACCGCTACTCAGTAGCAGGTGAAACAAAAAATCCTGCATACCCGAGATATGAAGCAACTACAAACAAACAACAACTCAATATCTGTATTCATTTATTTATTAATTTATACAATATATTCTCATAATTTATCCAATATATTCTCATAAAAATAAATTATCAGGAAATACAAAAAAAAAATTATTATACATTTAAGTTAATTAACAAGTTCAAAATTACAATTTTAACAATTTCATTGCATTTTGTATATAATTACATATTACACTAGACAAACATTACAATTTTTATATGCATATAACATGTATTTTCAACAACAAGCTGTCAATATCAAATTATACTAGAACTACCTATAAACTAATAAGTACAATGTATATAATAAATCTTACAAAACAATCAACTTTTGAATTTTTTTTAACACTTAAAATATGGATTACCAAGTTATTTATTTCACCATTAAAACAAACAGATACCAGTACTTTCAATGTTCAATGAAAGTAAACACTCCTCCCCCCACCCTCCAAGTTCCCTCAACATGCATTAACAACTGGCATTGCTAATCTGCTTACCATTGAAATTAATTAATAAACAACTTAAGAACTCTTTTACTCCTCTTATCAAAATATAGCCAATAAGCTGGTCCTATTGTCTGAAAACTAAAGCATTTATATGTTAAGTTATAAATTGTTATAAGCATACAATTTTTTATTTATAAATAAATTTTTTTATTCAAATGTATGATAGAAAGCTTGCAAAAATAATAAGATAACTTAGACCTTAATGACTGATAAAATTCCACATTATAATAATATAGTCATGTAAAATAAAATTAGGGTATTTTCAAACAATTATCAGTGAGATTTTAACAAAAGGTAATCAAGTGATATACATCAGTCATTTCTCAAGCAAGGCAAATATTTCTGTGTATACATCGGAATCCCCAATGTTTACAATATCAGGTTTGACAAGTGATTTAAAATCGAAATTTCGTTTATCAACTAACAAACTTGCATCATTTAGACATTGGGTTTAAAACCGTTTTCAATTTTGATTGTCTGCATGTTCATACATACATGATCAAAGGATGTAGGTTAAAATCAAACATTTATACAAAAACACTGATTTGTACAGTAACTGCTTGCAAGCCTTGTATGCCAGTATTGTGAATGACAATTGTGGTAAATGGATTAAAATATGCTGTGATATGCTATGTTGTTGTGTTTGCATATTACCGTATGATATTTACATGTGACCTGTGTGATTGATCTGCTTGACTCATGATTTTATCTTACCTTTATTATAGGAAGAAGCATACATGTCTGTAGAGCTCCTGTCACAGATGTTGTGAATATACATATTACAGATGGTGCATTAGAAAAAGAAAACTTGACACAATTCCCTGGTGCTTCTTGTAACAAGGACAGTGGTTAGCTGTGAATGTGCATTATGACTGATTTATTACACTGAAGACATAAATGAGTTTGTGGTAGTTACAGAAGCATTAGGTTACTAGTACTTCAGATGAAACATTTCTGACGAATATGAACAACAGTTGCGTGATTACTTGTCATCAGTATCAGAATATCACCACCTAACTGATCACTCTTCTGACACTTTCTTTTTGCCCTTTATAATCTTTTAAGTTTTAACTGCACTGCATAGACATTACAAAAATAATTTATAAGAGGTGCCCAGGACAGTAACCCAGTGCCAATTAAGGTTGTGACAGTGGAGGATGCTTCTGTTGGAGTTAGATATGACATTTCTATTTTCAAACTATAAGTAGAAATTGAAATGCAATATATATTAATTACTGGTAAGTAACAGCACCATTTTATTACTTTTTAATGATGCCGCTACAGGGTTTGTTTATGCTATTATTCCCTGAGCTTATAGTATTTAATTAATGGTCAATGGACCAAAAACTTTAATAGTATAAACACAGATTCAATCATGTGATTAAATTTTGTAGTTCAATGTGTTTTTTTTTCTAAAGTTTATACATCGAGTACACAGGTCCTCATAAATTTAAAGAAGCTGAAGTATGGCTAATCATTAACGATACAAAAACCTTTATTGAAAAAAAAGAAGAAATTTTAGTATTAAAACTGACGGACATGTATCTAGAAAAAGATACATAATAATGCATTCTTCGTAGAACGCTCTTCACCTTTGGAAGATTTTTTTTAATTAGCTATATGCTATTAAAAAGTATATTCATTTTGTACCAAAAATCTAAAAATATCATCAAATTTAAATTACAGGCGAACCTCATTTGCTCGAATTCGGAGGGTCTGTCCAAAATTTGTTTGTGAGATCGTAGTTCGAGCCAACCGATGTTGAACTATCATCACATAGGACATAGGCTTTAACATTTTTCAGCTTACATCGGTCGAATGATAAATACATATAATTGTTTGTTAGTACATCAGTTAGTCGAATAAGTCGTTTCTTGTAAATATTAAGAATTATTATCCTAGTGTTTTCAAATGAATATTAATGAATTTAATGGAGCACTGTGTTAATCTATTTTCATACATATTGTAGATGGAGGAGTTCGATTGGGCAATTATTTTCCAATACTGTTGAAGAATATACAAAATATATTTTTATGTTTATTAAATTAATACCATATTTTAAAAAAAAAAACACCATTTTACAGCAGCATTTATTTGTAGTCATTACACGTACAAGTATTATTCTATAGATATTCACATTACAATTAAAGCCGTCCAGGTAAACTTCATCTATAAGACTTGCACATTTCAAGAATTATTTTCTTTTTATCATTACTAAATACGTCAAATAAACAATATTATCATAACAAACAAAGGGGCTACAACACCTTTAATTTTGTAATGAAAATGATGTTGTTCCGTATCAAAAAGAAATATGTTTGAGAAAAAAAAGAGTATTTTTGTTTAAAGGAACTCAATGGTTTCAGAGATTGGGAGAGTGTTACCTCTAATAAGACACAGTAGTGTCCTGTTACCTACAAAACGATCATACAAACCAGATAGAAGACACATTATCTATGAGGTAATCTTTACAAACCTGAGAGAGAAGAGTGACATACCACAATGGAAAGAAATTAAATGTTATTTGTTATTCTAAAAATAACATCCAATCAGAAATCCAAGAGTATGTAAATGAATAGAAGCCCAGGGGAGGCACTACCAGATTACAAAATAAAAGTTTTGCTCTGCTTACAGCCTAAAAGTGCTCTGTTTTCGCTGATGTTAACAAGTAACCCCCTTGGGATTAATATGTCCCCC